GGCTTTTCTAGTCGTACAGTTGGTTTTTTTCTTTGCCCTTTCAGCGCGATTGCAGGAAACAAAATGTTGTTCCTTTTTTTGTGTATTTCTGTCAAATTTCGTATGGTTCAACAGTTCAAACGAGCAGTTAATTTGTCGCCTTTACTTTAGTAATGGTTAAGCCACATTTATTTCTCTGATTACAATCGATAGCTCTTGTATAGAGGAGGTAATAATGCGTACCATATCTGACAACAAGGTTACGCTTCGTGGCAAACTAGACTTGCTTTTGGTATTGAAATAAAATCTTAAAGAATTTCCATAAGAAATAAAATGTATTAAAAACTTTCAATCATATTATAATTTATTATGCAACAATGCTTTGTTGCTTTAACTTTGCAAACATATAATGTTATAGCAAAAATTGTCAATGCAAGATGTTTAGCTATTCCATGATTTTTGAATTTTCATTTAGACTGAACAGTGGTCTTTGGACTGTCCTGCAACATTTAATCTCGTTTTCTTGTTTTGGCTTACTGCTATCCCGTGCAATGTTTTTGTTCTTTTTTGGTCTTCATAATAGTTTTCAAATGTGCTGCATTAAGTTATCTTTCGGAAATCTATGTGAAAACTTCACACAAAAAACAACCTTTATTAATTTTTGAAATATAAAAAATGATTATACCAGGGGTTTTCAAAAAGAATTTGAAAGACCCTGATTATACTCATAGGGATGTGTAAAGCCGTAGGGTGTTATTTTACAAAAATAATTTCGAATTCTTAAAATTCAGAATGACAACTTTAAGATTGTTTCTGGCCTTGGTGCAGCTTAAATGCAATGGTTATATGGTGGTCCAAAACATTTTTATCCTTATATAAAACTTTTAATTCTTCTTCATTTTACCTTTATTTAATGTTTTATCCTTACATTTACCTTTTATTCTTCTTCATTTTACCCTTTTCCTGTTCGAAACACTTTTTGTGCAAAGTAGGAAGGTACGAACGCTGTCCTGGCGTTGACATATCCCTAGTTCTTGACGGTGTTTACTATGCGACTGAGCGAGTCTATGTTTGTGGTTTACGGTAGATTTACTTAGATTAGTTTTAATACGCGGGTGACGATTGACATGAATGCGGTACAATATCTACAGCTGATTATTGCGGTTAACAATATTTGTACATTTTATGAATAAATTGTGTTTATTCAACATGGTATATAAGTATGGAGGCGCCGTACTGTCTGGGTAGTTTGGATATATTGGTATTGCAGGTGGGCAAATAAAAGCTGGGTATTACTGGCAGCTATTGTCGCGTGATTGTACCCCAGACCACCTGTGTATATATCAGAATTGGTAAAACGATGAAAATGTTTGTAAAACAAAAATTTTTCACAGTTTTAATTATTTGATCCATGCGTTTTTTTTCTGATTGTTTTTTCTTCTTCTTCTTTTTTTTTCAGTCTGAAAAGAAAAGATTTTAATGGGAACAACACGAAACGTGTTTATTTCTCAAATGGTCACCAGTAAGTGTTTATAAAGTTAAACGGTATTGACATTCGACCTTTGTGCGTCTGTCCGTCTGTGCAGGGGAACATTGTTTTTAACCAACTTAAAAGATCATGTTTTTTTTTAAAGGAAAAATGTAAATGATCAATATTATCGTACTTTAATTGAGTAACGACCAATTCAAGTACTTCTTAACTATGAAGGTTAGACGTGGTTATGTTAAAGTCAAATAATACTGAATGAAATGTAGATATAATTTTCTGTTGTCATTCAAAGATCATTTCAGTACATGAAAAGTCATGTAAAAATATGTTTACCTTCAATGAAAAGACGAACAACTAAATGATAATAGCATATTGATCAGGTTTGAGTGTGCAGGTGTCCGTTGAAAAAACAGGAATGATTTCTCATTACTTTCAATTACCTATTACTAAATGGTATTTGATTAAGTAAAAACATGACTTTATAGATGGGTAAGTTGATCATTATATCGATGATTACTTTGACTATGTACACACCTGTGATCGTGCTTAGCTGAGTGACACTGATTAGTGAATATGTCACCTGTAGATTGGTGACATCAGTTAACCCAGGTGTGCTACTACCATCGGCTATTTTATTCAATATTTAGATGCTGTTAAACAGTGGGTAGGAAAATAAAACCACAGGCTCCGTTTAGAATGATTTTCAGTAATGTTATTTTTTTTATTACTTTTGTCTTTTAAAAAAATTTAAACAGAAAGATGACAGGAGTGGGAATTTGCAGCGTTTTTGCAGAAGTTTTTTTTATAAGAAATAACGATGCTAGATCATCAACACTATAAAAACAAGAGTATAAGCATAATTATGGCTTTTGTTTCTGATGTTGTATTTTCACATCATTATAGATGTTACTGTATTGTATTTTTAAAAAACAGAAAGTAAGTCAACGCCATTACAAAATATTATAAAGGTAATAAAGGTGATTCATTTAGGAGAAAAATGATTTTCTCAAAAGAAAAAAAAAAGAAGAAAAAAAAACATGAGAAGGGGCATATTCTGCAAACCAAAGATTTTTTAAATTATGGCCTTCTTTCTGTATATTTTGCTTATTTAGAATCCAGGACATCCCCCGCCCGGACAATATCATCATTGACCATTTGTCCCTCCCTCCACTCCGGTGGAAATATACCCCCCCCCCCCCCCGATTTGAAAATGTATGTCAAATGCAGTTTTTAAAAGCTAATGTTTAAATGAAAATATAACAATAAATGCATTATCATTGAAGTAAATGCTTATAACTTTGTCTTAAACATAAGCCGTCATTTGTTATGCATGTAGCAAATGTCCAAAATGTCCAAACTGCGGTGGGGAAATATTTATACAGCGTATACAGGTTCAAAGAAATTAAAAGTATCAAATCAAGTCATGCTTGTATTTACCACTGAAATTTGCAACATTTTTATATGGCCTTGATGAATCACCTTCATTGTTTTTGTATTTCACTATTTACCATATAATCACGAATATTTCTAACGTCTGCTAGTATTATAATGGTAAAGAAAAACACGTTTAAAGGGAAGCAATTACGATATAATCAAGTTTTAGTCACGGAGAGTTGTCTTCCAGCAATGATTTTTTTAGCAGCATGGTAATCGGATAACGCGTTATATTTTTGACTTGCTTCAGGGTACAAATAAATGTTCTAAAACCCCAGCATTTTCGTTCATTTCATTGAAGCCCAAGAAAAAAAGACGCATGTACAGAAAATGACCCCAGACATTGACGCTACGTAAACAAAAATAATTCAAGTAATTTTTATATTTTTCTTTTATTTTTCATGAAGTACTGGTGGTTGAATCGAGAAACCTGTCATAAAAACAAAACACATTTTTGTATAATTAACAATCTTCAATGCAGAAAACCTTGTTATTCGTGCGCGATTCTGTTAGTTATATACAGCACAGTATATAAAGCTAGTAGGCAAGAAATTAATTTGCATTATTATAATAAGGAACGTACATATCTTCCTTGCCCCCCCCCACCCCTTCATGTCAACCTTCGAGCTTTCTGACCGTATTAAGGAAATAATCAGTGGTGATCACATTTCACTATTTAGAAGCCGTAGAGAACGGACAAATCAGAATCTGTTTTACTCCACTTACGACCCCTATTCAACTACCATATTCACAGAGCTATATTTATATCTGTTATAAAAATCTCTGTCATTTTGTACGGAGTATCGAAAGGAAAAGAAGATCTAGATAATTCATTAAAATGATTAAAATATTATCTTTGTTACGTTGAAATTTATTAGTAAACCAAATTGAAATGAATATGTTGATATAAAATATATCTAATAGTTTTTATGACCATTATCTAATTTTGTGGCATACTATGTATAAGTTGTTTATCTATCTTCCCATTGGTACATACACGTCGTCAGATTTGAAGAACTTGGGACGCCGAGGGGGTGTGGTCCTACAGAGTAGGTAAAGACGATGAGTAAAGTGTGCAATGGTGACATGCCCGGCGTCCGTACTCAACAGCGCAAGCTGCATTTAATGCCTTAATGGGCGGATGTACCCTCATTAAACATATACTTCAGTCAATCAATGCCATTTATATAAATTATCTCCTAGTTTGTATCTGGTTAGCCTGCCAGCCAGACATGGTCCGTTCTTTTACTAATGAGAACCGAAATAGTCTAGATTTCGTATCTCTTTTCAAGGAATTGTTTTTGTTCTCACAGTATCTTTTACTTGTAGACCTGTATTTGTTTAAGTTAGCCTATATTTGTTGATATTTGACATCTTACTTCGCGGTTTTGAATAAAACTAATAATAAACAATTTATTAGAAAAGAGGACTTTAAAAATCAAGAAGATGCTGGATTAATTATCAGATGTACTCAACAAATCTGTAGCTCACGTCAGCCATATTCCAAAATAAACTGAACTATTGTGTAGTTCTGTTATGTACAAAATCTAGAAAAATAGGAACATCTTGCCATGCACCAATAAAGTGTGAAATTGAGCTCAACGGATAAACTAAAATACGCCTCAATGTTATACATTCCTTGCAACATTATTAGAAATGCTTGAATGAATATGCAAGTCTGAAATATACAAAAAAAATCAAGTAAAATCGGGTATATTATTTGATATGCTATGGGATAAGATTACCATGCTAAAAAAACATATAGTTAATAAACCAATCTTCATAGCCCACATCCTTAAAGCTATTATCTTCACTACTACTGGGTTAAAGACATTAAAATTAATAATGAAAGAAATTTAAAACGTCTTCATATACTCTAAATTTCTGGAATAATTCAAGTGTTGGCAAGACTGAGAGGCGTATTTAATGACAGAGGCATGACAGGGTGCTAGTGATATAACCGAGAATCAACACTGTCAATGTAACAAAGCAAACAAACACGAATAATACATGTATGTGTGACTGAAAAATGGGCAGCCTGATCGGTTCTCAACTGTTTACAGCTAGAGGATATAATTAAACACAGTCAACCTCACTGTACCATCTTGCACAAACTTTTATTTCCAATATACACATCATCTCTTCATTATTTTAAAAACAATAAATTGTTACCATAACATATCTCAAGTTTTAACAAGGAATCTTTTAACTAAGATAAACTATTGCACAGTTGTATTCATGTGTTCTTATCATAATTGACTTGTCATTAATGACACAAAGAGCATGATATAAAGTGATTTCACGCTTGGTTAAATTCAGCTAGATAGATCAAAATCAATCATATGTAATCTTATTTGATAATATGGCTGCAATTTTATAAAGTTTTGCTTTAACCATGGCAGAGACTTGAAATACAGCTCTATTAAATATCGCTTTGTGACCAGGGTGAGATAACACAGAGGTGGTAAATAGTATTCAGAAATGGTTTGTTGAAATGTATGACTTTATATAATAATGAAATAAATTTAGATGAAATAATATCTTAAGATATAAAGATGTACATTAATGATCTACTAAAACGTTACGATAAAATAACACATAAACTCAACTCAACAACAATACGCATTAAAAACTTTACAAATTTTTGGTGTGTTTATCATGCAATAGGGACATTGCTCCAGTTTATACAACAACAACAACATCATTATATAACAGAAGAGACAGGAGATCATGTATATCTTAACTAAATGCTGTACAAGGTAACAATATACTAAGTATAACACAATAAGTCATAGGTAGCAAAACACAAATAATATTTGTACCAAACCATCAGAAAATAAAACTTTGATATTGCAAAATAATCATCAAAATAATATACAAGAGGGCCATGATGGCCCTGAGTCACTCACCAGAAACAACTGCTTTTCAGTAAAAGAAAAAAAGACTACCTAAGAATACAACAGATAAAGTTTGGTGATCATCCATCCATTAGTTCTGTACAAGAAGATGTCTAACGTTTTTTTCTATTTTTAGCTCTAGAGACCCCTAAAAGGGGCCAATCAAGTTTAAAATGAGCAAACTTGATACAAGACTACCTAAGAATGCTACAGACAAATTTTGGTGATCATCCATCATTTAATTTAGTAGAAGAAGAGGTTTAAAGGTTTTTCTATTTTTAGCTCTGTTGACCCCTAAAAGGGGCCAACTGAAATGGCATGAGCAAATTTAAGTGTGACGGTCACAAGGATGCTACAGACCAATTTTAGGTAAATCTGCCCATCAGTTTCAGAGAAGATGACTGTTGACGCATGATGATGGATGCCGGAGTATCCCCCTTTGATACCAATAGCTCACACTAATAAAAAGTCATGGTTAACTTTCTTCCTTTACAAAAATTTATGATCAATATACTACAGACTTATAAAACAAGAGAACCATGATAGTCCACATCGCTAACCCGAGAAAGGTCATTTATTCTTCAATGCACAAGTAGATTATTTTATGACACTGGAGCCGGTCATTTTCATACAATTTTAGTAGATGAACACCAGGCATGCCAAATATAAAGGTCTAGATTAGCTAGTTCTGCACAAGAAAGTTGTGTTACATAATAGATACCTAAGCTCTAAGCATTGTTGTTTATTAAGTACTACATTTCTATTTTTAGCTCCTGTGACCAACTTGTGCATCACTTGAACCATTCATGAAAATGTTGAAGATATCCAAGTAAGGATATTTCCAATGAATTTTGATCAAAATATACCATTTAGTTAAAGATATACTATTTAAAGAAATTGTGGATAAAATGGACATCATGTTGTCACCTTTTGGCACTCTGTGCACAGGTAAGCTAAAAATTCTCATATATTGTACATTTATTGTAAACATAAACATGTAAAAAAGGTCTCATTATGATATAACTTTGTGATATTTCATGAAACAGATTTTATAAATGAAAACATGAGTGAAATAGTGGATGCATATTAATTATAACAGGATTTTTTTTAAATCAAAACAATTCATATGGAAAGTTGAAAAGGAAGTTGAAGGAAGATGTAAGGCAACTTTCTGTGAATTATTAAAGGCAAGAGATGGCACTATGGTAAAATCACCTATCTTAATGTTTCCTCACATGAATATTTCAAGTATCTAGCACCAATAGTTAATGTTCCTACAACTATGACCTTAACCATTTCGCTTCAACAGCTTCCTGTAGTATAAATGTAGGTCATGATGACATGCAATAGATAATGAAATTATATTAATCAAAACTGAAGCATAGTCATGCACCCTTATTTAGAAAAAAAAAAACAACCAAAGTTTTGAATGTTTGTTATTTTGTAAAATAGATATGAGAGACAGTATTTCTGATTTGCAAATATCATATCACAGGCCATGTAACTTTGGGATAAATCAAAACATCAAAATCGTCATTTAAATGGAATTTAAGGATGAACTATGATATAAAAACATTATTATTGATACACTATATCACAGTAACACACCTATCAGTTCTAACATATACTCCCATAAAGTAATCATATACATAAAATGATAACTATACATGTAAATAACAGGATCATCACACACTGATATAATTTTCTTTTAGTACACTGACATACGATTGAATTTTTTATATATTGTTGTAAATTGTTATCTGGGCATGAAGTTAATCTATGTACAAATAAAGCTTACAGAACACAATAAATAACAAATACTTTACTTTACTGGCATCCAGAGGTCAGAAATACATGCATATACAATAAGTATTAGCACCGTTTGAAACATTGAGTATTAAGATATGTTTTATTAAACTCAAAATCATCATCATTATCTCAACCTGCATACATTATCATGTAATCACACATGCTTATACAACATCACAGCATAATCAAAGGTCATGATGAATTATTAGAGGTCAAAGTTTAGTTGTCCAGTTCATCATCACTGTAATAATCATGTGTCCGACTATTTTCCCTTTCTTCTCGTACACCACGTCGTAACTTGTCTAGTTCTGCTAACTCACCCTATAATATAACCAAATATAATTTCATTTTTCTGTATTCTATAAATAGCTTTCCTATATTCTATAAATAGTTTTCCTGTATAGCATAAACTTTGCTGAATTTTGTATTTTTCTTGCATATCAGACAGGATTATCTAGAAATATCCATCTTACACCTTCATGCTTTAAACAATGTTGTTCCTACACACCTTCTATTGATAAATTGCTGTTTTGAATGAGTTGTAAATTCATACTTGAGAAAAAAGAGCTAAAATAAAATATATGTTATCATAATATTTTTTCAGAAATGTTATTATATATGTAATATGCAAACACAAGACTTGTGTCAAGGAATTATCATGTTAAAATGATAAATGAATATTTACTGGCAAGGAATATCTAGCTCTTTGGTTTGGTAACTGGCAGAAACAGTTACCCTTAAGCTAGATAAACCAGTTTGTCCCAGCAGCCAGTTAGGATTCTTATATTATCATCTAATGACAAGTCCTTGTTTTATCATATCACTTAATCATTTCATTTAATTACAAACATTACATTACATGATTATCATTAAAATGTGTTATGGATCAATGTTAATTTCTTGCTCTCCACTGGTCTTACTGGTAGATTCAGTTGCTGCCAGTAGGGTAAAAGTAAACAATTAGCTGCTAAAGTTGTGTAAAGGTAATACATTAGCTGTTAAAGTTGTGTAAAGGTAATACATTAGCTGTTAAAGTTGTGTAAAGGTAATATATTAGCTGTTAAAGTTGTAAAAAGGTAATACATTAGCTGTTAAAGTTGTGTAAAGGTAATACATTACCTGTTAAAGTTGTGTAAAGGTAATACATTACCTGTTAAAGTTGTGTAAAGGTAATACATTACCTGCTTAAGTTGTGTAAAGGTTAACCATCACCTGCTAAAGTTGTGTAAAGGTTAACCATCACCTGCTAAAGTTGTGTAAAGGTAAACCATAATCTGCTAAAGTTGTGTAAAGGTAAACCATTACCTGGTATAGTTGTGTAAAAGTAAACAATTACCTGCTAAAGTTGTGTAAAGCTAATATATTGTCTGCTAAATTTGTGTAAAGGTAAATCATCACCTGCTTAAGTTGTGTAAAGGTTAACCATCACCTGCTTAAGTTGTGTAAAGGTTAACCATCACCTGCTTAAGTTGTGTAATGGTAAACTATCACCTGCTTAAGTTGTGTAAAGGTAAATCATTACCTGGTAAAGTTGTGTAAAGGTAAATCATTACCTGCTAAAGTTGTGTAAAGGTTAACCATCACCTGCTAAAGTTGTGTAAAGGTTATCCATCACCTGCTTAAGTTGTGTAAAGGTAAATCATCACCTGCTAAAGTTGTGTAAAGGTTAACCATCACCTGCTTAAGTTGTGGAAAGGTAAACCATCACCTGCTTAAGTTGTGGAAAGGTAAACCATCACCTGCTAAAGTTGTGTAAAGGTAAATCATTACCTGGTAAAGTTGAAAACAGAAGTATCTTACCTTGATGATTTGTAAATGATATTGTCGTCTGCTTGCCAATAGTCTCATAGGGAAAGGATTTATCCAATTGAAAGCAAACTGAAATAAAGTAAACAATGATAGGAAAGTTTATAAATATTTTTTTAGAAAAAATGCTATAATTTGAACATAAACATGGTTGAATAATGTTTACACTTATTTAGGAATCAATTTCAACAATAAACAAAACACTACAATTCAGCCTGTCTCTGTTGGTCAGTTATAATTGGCAGCTTTTTCAAGATGTCAACAAAAATATTAGTGTTCAATAAATGATCAAATGAGAGCTGTTGGTACAGTACGCTCAACTATTCTCAGTGCTTGATAGTAAAACAAGAGACCAGATAATGCAGGATTTTCTAAGTTCAAAAAGGGCCATTTTCTGTCAAAATCCATGTTTGAGTTATGGGCCTTGGCCAGTGACCTCCTATTGTACTCTCAAATAAGTGTATCAAGTTAAACACAGTTCCTTCAGTAGTTTTGGAGATACCAATGCATGCAAAAAGTTAACCAAGTGTGACCTCGACACCAAAACCTAGGAGAGTACAATAACTCAATTTATGCCTCAAACAGTCGTGCAAGAAAAACATCACAAATGCAATAAAAACATATATACTTTGTATCTCCTAAAGTATTCCAAGGAGGATATGTGTTCTAAGTTGTCTAACATGTTTAAACTTACAGTGTCTCATAAAATCTTTGACTCTAAGGACAGTAAAATAATAATTAGATACATTCAGTTTAAATATTATACCGAAGAAATTTGTTTGACGTTTGTCATTTTCTCTCCAATGGTTCTCAAGTATCTGTTAAGCTGCAGCCCATCCTCTTGCTCCAGAATTTCTTGTTCTGCCTTCTTCAAGAAAGCAATGGCAAATCTGAACAACACCTGCATTACAAAATATTCTAGAATTGTTATAAAGTACAATCAACATCATACAAAAATAAATATCAGTCTTACTTTTAAAGAAAGAAAATCAAACTCTTCGTTCTATACAAAGGCAAGACAGAGAAAGTTTCATATTAGCTTTAAGCTTTCTACTCAATTGTGGATGTAATTTATGTATTGAAATTTTGATTGAAAACATGATATAAAAAAGCAATAAATATTGTTTCAACCGAAACCAAAGGCAAAACATTTGTTTGTGTCAGTCATTCTAAATAACATGGCTATCTATTTAATGTTATAGTAAACTTCTGTAACTCTTAGAAATGTCCACAGCAAATACACTTAAATATACCATTATAGTTCTATAAATGATATTTTGGTATGTTCTAATGTAACTGGTTCATTATGTTTAAAATCTGGTCAATCAATAATTTCTGGTTTCAAAGTTAAAATATTACAAGTATTTAAACATTGGTTATATGGACAAATCAGATTATATATATTTGTAGGGCAGCCTGGCTCTATACTGCTGGCAATATATAATCAACAACACTGGTAAATTGGAGGTTATCATGTAACTTTAGTAAATGTAAAATTAACAACATGCATACCCTTACCTTACTGCCTTCATAAAGGAATGTATCCCATATACGTAGAAACATTTCTGTAGGTACATTGTCTACAAACACTGTGAGGAACCAGTTAAATGTAAATAATGATAAATCTACTTGGTTACTTTCAAGTTTAGAATGCACGGCTGGTAATTTGTGCTGTACCAAATCCTTTAATACTCTCTGAAAAAAAGTACATTTTTATTAGATCAATTAACTAAACAGTTATAACATTATACAATGAAAAAAAAAAGAAAAAAAACAACAACAACAACAAAAACACATTATGTTTAAAGGTATGAAATAAATATGTGTTATTCAAAATGTCTTTAGTACAGATTTGCTTGAATTTACTTATATTGTTTGTGTATTATCTTATACTCAATTACAATAACATCAATAATAATTATTATTTCCACTCTATATCTGAATTCTATGGATTATATATTTTTTTTCCATTCCATTTCCATGAAATTAGGTTATATTGTTTAATTACATATCTTGTTTTATGATAAACTTTGAAAGTTCAACATCAGAAATCTGCAAAATTAATATGGTTATTAACAAAGTTTAACTTTAAAATATGACAAATTTTCTTTTCAGACAAATTTTATTTTTGAAATGTAACAAAATTTTATTATTCAAATTATTACAACTAAAACAGTTATTATAAAGATCACCTATATTCACTGCCTAGAAACATTGTTGCAGCATATTTTGATGTTTGTTTGTTTGATTGGGTTTTACGTAACATCGACACAGTATAGGTCATATGGCAATGTTTAGCTTTACTGGTAAAGGAAGACCTCAGGTGCCCTTCCGTGCATTATCTCAGACACAAACGAGCACCTGAGAAGAACCTCTATCGTTTCATAAGCTAGCTGCATAGCTTTTTTTATATGTCAGGATTCAAACCCGCAGCGGTTAGGGGCAAGTGGGTCGAAGTCAACGACCTTGACGACTAGGCCACGTACGCCCAACATTTTGATGTTACTAACCTGATCAGCCTGAGCTGCCATCAAAGTAGAGCTGAAATATTCTGCTGGTAGAATATAATCAACAATGGCAACAAGACACCAGAACGCATCTTCCTCATTGAGAAACAACAAGGCAATAGCTGCTAACCTGTTCAATCCCTGAAAATATATTACTGCATATCAGACTGGATATACTAGTATTAGATTTTTTTTGGGCAAGGGCTGAACAATGCTATCTTTGTCGGATTTATGACAAAGACAGTATGAAAGAAAAAGTCAGAATTCCATTTAAATCCTTAGCATCAAGCAGGACAGTGACTGGAAGCATTGCTTATTTCTTTATATGATGTTGCTGGAAATAAAACCTTCGTAAATCAAAGAAAGTTTTCTACCAATGCACATTTAAATAAAGATGCTATGATCAACAGTGTTATTGGTAATCCATACCTTACATTCATATCGGCCATCCATACCATAGATTCATATTGGCCATCCATACTATACATTCATATTGGCCATCCATACCATAGATTCATATTGGCCATCCATAACATACATTCATATTGGCCATCCATACCATACATTCATATTGGCCATATATACCATACATTCATATTGGCCATCCATACCATACATTCATATTGGCAATCAATACCATACATTCATATTGGCCATCCATACCACACATTCATATTGGCCATCCATATGGGCAATCCATACCACATAATCATATTGGCCATCCATACCATACAATCATATTGACCATCCAAAACATACATTCATATTAGCGATCCATACCTTATATTCATATTGGCAATCAATACCATACATTCATATTGGCAATCAATACCATACATTCATATTGGCCATCCATACCATACATTCATATGGGCCATCCATACCATATATTCATATGGGCCATCCATACCATACAATCATATTGGCCATCCATAACATACATTCATATTAGCAATCAATAACATACATTCATATTGGCAATCAATACCATACATTCATATTGGCAGTCCATACCATCCATTCATATTGGCCATCCATACCATACATTCATATTGGCTATATATACCATACATTCATACATGCCATCCATTCATATTGGCCATCCATACCATACATTCATATTGGCAATCAATACCATATATTCATATTGGTCATCCATACCATACAGTCAAATTGGCAATCAATACCATACATTCATATTGGCCATCCATACCATACAATCATATTGGCCATCCATAACATAGTTTTATATAGGCAATCAATACCATACATTCATATTGGCCATCCATTCATATTGGCAATCAATAACATACATTCATATTAGCCATTCATACCATACATTCATATTGGCCATCCATACCAAACATTCATATTGGCTATATATACACCATACATTCATACATGCCATCCATACCATACATTCATATTGGCAATCCATACCATACATTCATATTGGCCATCCATTCATATTGGCAATCAATACCATATATTCATATTGGTCATCCATACCATACATTCATATTGGCAATCAATACCATACATTCATATTGGTCATCCATACCATACAGTCAAATTGGCAATCAATACCATACATTCATATTGGCCATCCATACCATAGATTCATATTGGCCATCCATACCATACAATCATATTGGCCATCCATACCATACATTCATATTGGTGATTCATACCATACATTTTTAAAGGTTATCCTTACCATACTTTCAAATTGGTCACCATATTGGCTATCAATAACATGCAATTATTATGGTCACCCATTCCATACCTCCATACTGTACAGCACCATGAACTTAATGTTAGTTTGACTAAAATCCAAAATATCAATAAAATCTTTTAATTAAAACAATCTTGATTTTATCTTACCTGACAATAACCAATCAATCTATTGTGTTCACTGAAAGCTAGTAATATTCTCCTCAGTTTAAGTATACCCTCAGACTCTATTGACTCGTAATGTTTATTATTTGGAAGTGTTCTCAGGAGATCTAGTTCTATCTGAAATTACAACATTTCTATACTTGAATATACATTAAAAACATATTCTTTGTATTATTTCACTGGTAACATAAATAAACAAAACTTTATTCCAAAATATTTAGACATATACCACAGATTTAAAGCTATTTACCACATTTTCTGACAATTTAAAAACTGTAAAAAAATGAAAATGTAAAGTACTGTATTTAAATGAAGGATGAACAAAACATTAGACTCCCTGACAATAAATTCAATGTGACATTTATCATTACAGCCATGGTCCATCCAACAAATGAAGTCATATTAAGTAATTAAAATGTCTTTTCTAAACAATCCAACAACTGTAGTCATCATATGAAATTGAAATCTGTTCAAACTAAATGTATTAAGATGTACACATTTCCAGTATAAACCTTGACCTTTTAATTTCTGACTAAGACCAAGCAAGTCAATAAAGGAAAAGAAAGTTGGTCAAAGATTAATTTTGCTATCATAAATGGATTTAAAAAAACAACATACATATTTCTTTTAGCCCGATAAAAGCATGAATCACTCTTGGCCTATCTTTCTTGAATTAAACAATATTGGTGTCATATGAGGAACAATATTGGTGTCATATGAAGAACAATATTGGTGTCATATGAAGAACAATATTGGTGTCATATGAGGAACAATACTGGTGTCATATGAGGAACAATATTTGTGTCATATGAGGAACAATATTGGTGTCATATGAGGAACAATATTGGTGTCATATGAGGAACAATATTTGTGTCATATGAGGAACAATATTGGTGTCATATGAGGAACAATATTGGTGTCATATGAGGAACAATATTGGTGTCATATGAGGAACAATATTGGTGTCATATGAGGAAAAATATTGGTGTCATATGAGGAACAATATTGGTGTCATATGAGGAACAACATTGGTGTCATATGAGGAACAATATTTGTGTCATATGAAGAACAATATTGGTGTCATATCAGGAAATATGGTAGTAACCCTAGTAAAACTCAAACCAACAATCCCTGGGTTGAGTGGCAGATATCCACTAGGCTAATGCTCCACTTGCTTTATATATATATATATAGATGGACAAAGCAATGCAATACAGCAATTATGTTATGCTTCACATGTCAACCAAAATAGGAAGAGTCCAAATCTTGATCAAAAGAAGTTTTATAAAAGGACATTAATAATAGAGTCTAGTGTGTTATGTTATTTTTTCTTGAAACCAAAGCAAAGAAAATAATAATAAAAATAAATAAAAAACTCTAAAAACAATGAGACACTCATCATTTAATCTAAATTCTAGTGGTAATGACATCAGCCCTCAGCCACCAGTATTGCTAAAACTATACTTGCAACATTTGACTTACAAAAATTATTGCTTTACTAGAAATGTGTCCATAGGACACGGGTGCCCCCAACGCGCCACTGTTCTGTCAATCTTATGACTCTAGGTCAAATATTTTTTGAAAACTAAAAATCTTTTACTAAGTAAAGGGCGAGAACTTTACAAATACTGAATAAATCTACAAGCAAACCCCATGGTGCATAAGTACACATGCTGACCAACATTCTTGTAAACTTTCAGGCCTACAAGTGAAATACTTTTTGAGCTATGCATGAACAAGTTGAAAATTGCAAATTTATACTACTGTAAGTCAAGGGCAATAACTCTAACAAAACTGAAAAAAATCCACATGCAAAGTCCCAGGTTCATAGCTTCAGAGTGATGAGAATCATTATTCCTGTAATTTAGTAATGTTGATCATTATTCCTGTAAAGTTGGTATATTCTAACTCAAGCACTCAAGGAACAAATAACAACATAATGAAACCGTTTTTACTAAGTCAAGGGAAATAACTCTACAAATACTGGATAAATCCACAAGCGAAACCCCAGGTGCAAAACTTAATATGCTGAGCAACCTCCCCGTAAGGTTTAATGACTCCATGTCAAATCCTTTTTGAGTAACATGCAACACAAGTTGAAAATTGCAAAAATTTTCTAAGTCAAGGGCAATAACTCTAAAAATACTAAATAAATCCAGACGAAAATACCAAGGTGCACAATTACACATGCTGATCAACATTCCTGTAAAGTTTCATGACTCTAGGTCAAATCCTTTTTTAGTTACATGCGACACAAGTTGAAAATTGCAAAATTTTACTAAGTCAAGGGCAATAACTTTGAAAATACTAAAATATCCAGATGAAAATACCCAGTTGCACAACTACACATGCTGATCAACATTCCTGTAAAGTTCATGACTCTAGGTCAAATCCTTTTTGAGTTACATGCGACACAAGTTGAAAATTGCAAAATTTTACTAAGTCAAGGGCAATAACTCTAAAAATACTAAAAATATCCAGATGAAAATACCCAGGTGCACAACTACACATGCTGATCAACATTCCTGTAAAGTTTCATGACTCTAGGTCAAATACTTTTTGAGTTACATGCGACACAAGTTGAAAATTGCAAAATTTTACTAAGTCAAGGGCAATAACTCTAAAAATTCTAAAAATATCCAAATAAAAACACCCAGGTGCACAACTACACATGCTGATCAACATTCCTGTAAAGTTTCATGACTCTAGGTCAAATACTTTTTGAGTTACGTCGACACAAAAGAGAACGGACGGACGGAAGGATGTACGACGGACAAGGGTAAATCTAAATGCCCGCCACTAAAGTGGGGGCACAAAAATCAAACATGCATTTGTTGTTAATAAAACTCAATAATCATAACAAATGACTATTGCATTGCAAAACTCAATTATAGAATAGAGAATACATGGTTGATGTCGGGATGGAGAAGGTATATCCGGTGAGCGAGAAAGTGTATCTTGGCAAGCTTTAGCTTTTCATCATGTGTTTAGAATAATTAAATGGTTTCATTCTTACTTTTCCCCGATAAAATAGCATCTATATGTAGTTTTGTTTTGCTGCTTAACGGTTGACGTCATCATGTGATGTAATGACTGGAGATAGATAAGTTTACCCGGCAAGGATTTATCCAGCTGATGATATAGCCAGTAGCAGGATAAATATCAGAACATTACAAATATTTAGTCAGTGACCTATTTACTCACTTGAAAACAAATTAAAAACATTGTGTTTCTAAATTTGATTTACATGTGCATGTTTATACACTGGAAATGCTTACATGCCTAACACATGTGCTATTAAAAACTCACACAAATACCTATAAACCAGTGCTTACATATTGCAAAATGACCTTCAAAAGTAATGTCATGAACTTAAGTGAATATGGTATAAAAATAAATGGTCAATAAACAGGAAAGGTTCAATATTCATCAACTACAAATAAAAACCCATTTATCTATGAAAGATTTGGCCTCAGAAATCATATTTCCTCTATAATTTATAGAATGTTACATTAGTTCAGTTTTGAGCAGGCATCTAGGTAACTATCAACCTTCCACAGGCTAGCCAAATAAAAGGATGTAATGTCCAGAGCAGAATTCAAGCAAATGTTTCTAATTGAGTAGCCATACTACATGTATTTGTCAAAGCTTTATTGTCCTAACATCTATCTTTGCTAATCTGTGCAGTCTGGACAGGCTTTATAATGTTGGTAGCTCAAATTTAGTATTTTCAATACTTTGATACTAAAATCCTTTAATTTTGAATAGGCTGTTTTAATTCAAAACTTTTCTGGACAATATTTAGTCTTATTTTAGAGTACAACTAATAAAAGTCCAAAGACAACAAAACTAACACAACTAAACCAAATCTCCAAAAGCAAGTTTCCTATGACTAAAACACAGATGCTAGTAAAGTAACACTTGTAGTACCAATACCAACACATAACACAAACATTAATATGGAAAGAAAAAAAAATGATAGAATACAAAAGATATCTTACCCATCTAACCCTGGACAACAAATATTATCATGAACCGATTATGTGTATATATATGGCTATATATCTGCTTTAATATGATATATACATGTACATGTTTAATTTACAAGTAAAAGCTATACACATGTCTATTATATAAGCTAAATAAAGTACACATACCAAGATAAGCAAAGATTATCTTTTTATATGCAAAACTGTTATAAAGTTATTACATAACACATGTGAAATTTGAAATCAATTTTATCTGTTAACCACACTCATACAGTCAATCATATGGCTACCCTCCAGCTACACTGGTTGTTAACCCATTACCTCATGAGCATTTTGTGAACAAGGGTGCCATAGTCACAAAATACGCCCGTTTACGAAAAAGCTTTAGATGGAGATGGGGGCATTATGGATAAGTGTTATCTAGCAAGCAAGTTTTTATTCTTGGCACTGTGTTGTTAAATGAACCTTAAAACAAATCAATAGGGAAGATATGCACAGAATGTGTGACCTTGACCTTGGTTGCAGGGACCTGAATTTTTATGCATGGCACTCAGCCTCACAATGATGAACATTTGTTGCCAAATTATATTGAAATCCCTCTATGCATGTAGAAGTTTTGCTCCAGACAAGTGTTTTTCTATGAGCTCTAACTGTGACCTTCACCTTTGACCTAGAGACTTGGTTTATGTGCAGGGCACTACGTCTCATGGTGGTGAACAATTCTATAAAAGTAACATTAAAATTCCTCCATGCATGTAGAAAATATGCTCCGGACAACATCTGGATATTTAATCATCTCCAGTGACCTTGACCTTGCAAATATTAACCTAAATTAAATGTGTAACACCTGTAGTCATGATAGTTACCATTTGTGCTACAATCCATCAATAAATGATGACTCAATGGTCCCTATAACCATCTTCAAATTTTTATCTGAACTTTGACCTCTAAGTGTAACCTTGACTTTGGTCGCAGGGATCTGAATTTTGCATGCGACACTCAGCCTCACAATGGTGAACATTTGTGCCAAGTTATATTGAAAACCCCCTATGAATGTAGAAGTTTTGCTCCGGACAAGCGTTTTTCAATGAGCTCTAAGTGTGACCTTGACCTTTGACCTGGAGACCTGGATCATGCATGGAGCAATACATATCATGGTGGTGAACATTTCCATAAAGTATTATCAAAATTCTTCCATACATGTATGAGATATGCTCCAGACAAAATCTGGATATTTCACCATCTTAGTGACCTTGACCTTGCATATATTGACCTAAAGTACATGTGTCACAGCCGTAGTCATTATAATGACCATTTGTGTTACAATCCCTCAATAAATGATGATTAAATCATCCCTATACACATCTTCATATTTTTATCTTTTTTTAAACGGGCGTATAAAAAGTACATGTAATTTAATAACTAAAAAATTCTGATTTAAGATTTTATTCTAGGGAAATACATTTCATTACAATTCTTAATCTTTGAATGAGCTGAACTGATATTTACTTGAAAATTAAAATATAATTAAATTTCTATGAGAAAGTATTTACATTTGATAAGGTAATTACTGTATGATCTTTATGAACAAATACCAAGTCTACAGAACACCATAGTTATCACAGTTAAGAATCTTGACCAATGAATGAACATGTGTAAATAAATGTTACATTCTTTACAACATACTCAAGTCCAAGAAAGAGGATTATTTCATGCCCTTTGATTAAATTCTATTTTTAGATCAAGGGGAGTAATTGTGTAAGTCATTTATGAACAAAGTAATAACTTTGTTGTCTCCCTTTGATTAAATTCTATTTACAAAATCTGGATATTTCATCATCTTTAGTGACCTTGACCTTGTATATATTGACCTAAATTATATGTATCACAGCCATAGTCTTGATAATGACCATTTGTGTTACAATCCCTCAATTAATGATGACTAAATGGTCCATATATACACATCTTCATATTTTTATCTGAACTTTGACCTCTATGTGTGACCTTGACCTTGGCCGCAAGGACCTGAATCTTGCACGCGACACTCCGCCTCACAATGGTGAACATTTGTGCAAGTAATATTGAAATCCCTCTATACATGTGGAAGTTTTGCTCCAGACAAGCATTTTTCAATGAGCTCTAAGTGTGACCTTGACCTTTGACCTAGAGACCTGGTTCATGTGCGCGACACTGCTCCTCATAGTGGTGAACATTTATATGAAGTTTCATTAAAATCCCTCCATACATGTAGGAGATATGCTCCGGACAAAATTGGACGCCGCCCGCCCGCCCGCCCGCCCGCCAGGGCGTTCCCATAATACGTCCCGTTTTTCAAACGGGCGTATAAAAATGGCTGTTTTCATTGAAAAGTCTCCTGTTACAAGTTCAAAGTGATGAAAATACTTGAAATTACCCAAAATCGAGTTTTTCCATGTTAAAACATGGCCTTACACATAATTTAGAAGAAAATTTGTTGTTTTGTAGAATTTTATATTTTTTTCATTAAAGACCTTGGTGCCCCTATGTGCATTATTTGAACAGGTGCCCCTATGACTTTGTGTATTATTTGAAACATCAGCTAGGTGCTGAGTAGAACCACTGACCCTGATGTAAAGTGTCCTTGCATGAAATAATCCACCAAAGTTCATCTTGGATCATATATGACCATTTCTTTTTAAGCTTCTGGTTAACAAATCATAAACAGTAAAAAAGATTTCATTCTAAATAACTTTAAAATTCAAGAAAATAAAATTAAATATTTTGTTGATAAATTACACACCTGTTTTATAGAGGGGTCAGAGCCTTTAGCGGAAGCTTTTTGTTGTTGTAAGTCCTGGTAATAGTTGGCACCTTTCATCTCCCTTAAATCACTAATGTGGATATTCACACACCTACAATAGTTCAATAATTACTTATTTCATGTTGACTCCATAGAAATCAACTACAAATACATGTAATGAAATATCAAAACAGGCATATAGGGTTAATTTCCTTTTAGTAGTTCAACTGTAAATTTACATTTTAGTAGCTTTTTAGAAGGAAAGACTATTAAAAGATTGTCCACTCCTTTGCCATCTCCATTTTCAACCGACAATAATTTGCTTCAATAGTATATTGGTACAACCTTTTTTAATCATTCACTCTTTTACTTTGCTTTATGCAATGCAAAAGCCTAATCAAGAATGGTTTGCTATCGTTTTCATTGAAACATCCACAATAATATTAAAAATATTTAGAAATTATTAACAGGTGCATACCCTTTCCATACTTCCTCCCTAAACTCATGTGGAACACCTTGTCTAATTAATGTCTTCAACTCGTTACCTTTCTGTAGTTTACCACCACGTCCAACAAGATAATTCTCCCATTTCACTCTTAAAGAGGCATCATGATCAGCTTCCTGGAAAACATCATATGAGCCGCATCACGACAAAACCAACATAGTGCGTATGCGATCAGCATTGATCCAGACCAGCCTGCGCATCCGCGCAGTCTGATCAGGATCCATGCTGTTCGCTTACCAACTGTATTACAAGAAGAGAAACTGATAGCGAACTGCATGGGTCTGGATCCATGCTGGTCGCAAACGCACTATGTTGGTTTTGTCATGACGCGGCTCAATTATATTCAGTTAAAGTGACATTATACGCATTTTTTCTTTCTTTGTCAAGTTTGGGTGAGTTAGATATATATTTCAAAAGTTTGACTGGCCAATAATTTATAATTAGATATGTATATACCTACTCTTTTTATCAACTGAGCATAGGCATAACAGTCAGAGGGATATTTATACAGATTGCCATGTGCCACATAAGTTATTGTATATTCATTAAAAGTAGAATATGAAACTGGGAGCAAATAAGGCAAAATGTAAACTTATACATCTCAACATTTACACTTGGATGGCCTTAATGTCAATTTAAATTCTCAATGAACATAATAAATATAAATGACTGATATCCTTTTTAACCTTTGCAATGCTGAATGTTTGCCACAGACTTTTCATGCATTGAATTGGATCTGTCCGTAATTATTGTAAGAAATTTCAACATCTATATTAAACAACCAACAGTACAGAGTCTGGTAAGACAGCAAGAAAGTATAACCTAGCAGAAGGCTTGTCAATTATATCATCAGCATTCAGTGTGTTTAAAAAATGTCTGGGAAACAAATAATTATACAAAACATTCCACTTTGGACAATTAGTTTTTAAATGTATTTGCCACTCAGTCATTTGTTTACCAGAGATCACAAATACACTATATTTGACCTTGCACAACTCAACCTTTGACCTAGCTAAAGTTTATGACCCTGAATTACTGACCTTGACTTTGGTATGCAACTCTTCAGATTGTTTTTCAAGCACAGCAGCTTTGCTAACTAAAGGATCAAATTCCTCATCATCATCTGTCTGTTCTGTATAATGTTTCTTTGAGAAACCATACTTGTCATACACTGTACCACTGAAATGTAAAGTCTTCATCTAGGCCCAGGTCTATATCCACATGTATGGTAACTATAATTTTCATTGCTGAGAAAATAACTAAAAAATTGTTTTGTTTATTTGACCTGTACAATGACTGGCAGACTGAAACAAGGAATCCAGAATTATATAAAAATCATTTATCATTATAAATTACTACTTTACTAACAGTATTAAAATATCAAAGAAATGTAGCATTTTCAGTCTCTTTATTGAAGAGCTTGAAGATTGTGTTGAAACTTCTATCTGGTCTTACCATACTTGTGTCAGGATTTAACATGGTGTTGACCATAGATAAAATTCAAACCCCATGATTTATTGGTTTAACTTCAGACTAATTACTAATTAGCCACAACAGTACTAGATGCATATTATTTCACATTAATTTTTATACCTACTATCTAATCACAGGGTATCTTAGGTCATATGGTTAAAGTCATTGACTTATTTCACTTGCCCCTCACTGCTGTTGATTCAAATTTCACAAGGCCACTTTTGAAATTCTTTCATCTGAGGAAGTTATCTTGTTAGCATTTATAAATTTGGTGGTTCTATTCATGGGCACCTAAGGTCTTAATCTACCACTTAAGCTGAAAAAATTGCTATATGTGTTATATGTGACTAAGAATTCTAAAACATATAACTACATACAATGAATATTTCATTAACTTTTACTTCAAAGAAGCCATACCTTCCAGTAAGACGCAGCTCAATATCATCATCATCCGTCTCGAGGGCATCTGTTAACAACTGATTCACCACTTCCTGGCCTTCTTCACCCTCTGAATAACAACAACAACAGCCATTAGCACAAAATATACCTGTTACAAATACTCAGTCTCATGATAGACAGCATTAAATTAAAATTGCTCAGTTCAAGATGACTAAGTGGTAATTCTCACTTTTTTTACTGACTTTGGACCTCTGCATGTGTCACTGACCTTGGCTACGGGAGCCTTTATATTTTGTGCACATCACAAACCTTTCTTAAGTTCAAAAAGGGCCATAATTCTATCAAATATTAGGCCTTGGACAGTGACCTCCTTTCATGCTCTCAAATAATTGTGTGAAGTTTCAGTCCATTCCTATCAGCAGTTTTGGAAGACCAACTTGAAGAGCTAAAAATACTTGTCTTCAGACATATTTCTCAAATCTGTTGCTATTCATGTCGATTTTATCTTAAAATTTACATATAAATATCTAGAATTATAAGTATGTAACCTACCTCTAACTGGTCCCTGTTCTTTCTTCTGCTTCAGCAACACATAATACTTGCTCTTTATCTGGTAATACTTTGCCTGCATTTTGGCAAAATCCCTGCATAGAAATGTAAATAAATGTCACATAAGTTTTATACCACTGCAAGTTTGTAAAGTCAATATCATTGAATAATCTTGAAATATTTCACTTACAGGCCACACCAATTTGAAAGTCTTTCTTTGTTCTTTGTATTTTTTTTAAAAACCACAATTTAACCCAGTTTAAATTCAGTAAATAAGGCAGGGAAAGTTCATAAAATAATTTCTTAAAAAAAATTTTTATTTTCTACTTTAGGAATTAAAACATATAAAGGGTTTCGGGAACTAAGTTTTTTAGGGGGATTACCCAGATACGTGTAACCCCATGGGAAATTAAGTTTTCCAAAAAAAGTAAAACCCCAAAAAAAAAAACTTTTTGTTTGGGGGGTTTTTTCCCCAAAATTTTTCGAGCCCCCGTCGCCTGCACTTTTTTCCTCACATTTTTTAACTTTAGCATGACTTTATAGGGCTCAGATTTAAATTAAATATTTTTCTGAAATTTCTGAAAAAATTCGGGGTTTTGCTTTTTTAAAATATACAATTTTAGGGGGAATAGCATTCACATTTCTGAACTGTTCACGATTTAGGGGAGATGTGTAGCTAGATAGCTCAGTGTTACTATGCTTTATACAAATAAACTTTTCGTATTCGTATTCGTATTCGTTTCGAGGGTCCCTGGATCGGATCCCAGTCAGGCATCACATTTTTGATACCTTGTGACAAACATATAACATTTAAATATTCTTTACACTAAACTATCCAGGTGAGCTACCAAATTATATGATATTTTCAAGACTGCTTTTACGTTCACCATCAAGAAGACAACAAGAAAACAACACTCACATCATGAGGTTTTTCTCTTTAGCAAGGTCATCTTTCCTGAGATCATTTAGCTCTAGTATCTCCTTGGTAAGGAACTTATGCTGAAGCTCATAACCTTGACATATGTCCTAAAATACAACAATATATGTCCTAAAATACAACATTGACATATCACATATCACCTGTAGTCAAACAAAAGATTATGTGTCCTGCAAAAACAAGAGATTATGCGTCCTGAAATAAAGCAATGACATTTCAGTTTAAGTGTAACAAGAAATTTTGTGTCCTAAAATAAAGCAATGACATTTCAACTGAAGTGTAACAAGAAATTTTGTGTCCTCAAATAAAGCAATGACATTTCATCTGAAGTGTAACAAGATATTTTGTGTCCTCAGATAAAGCAATGACATTTTAGCTGAAGTGCAACAAGAGATATTGTGTCCTGAAATAAAGCAATGACTTTTCAGCTGAAGTATAACAAGAGATTTTGTGTCCTCAAATAAAGCTATGACATTTCAGCTGAAGTGTAACAAGAGATTTTGTGTCCTCAAATAAAACTATGACATTTCAGCTGAAGTATAACAAGAGATTTTGTGTCCTCAAATAAAGCTATGACATTTCAGCTGAAGTGTAACAAGAGATTTTGTGTCCTAAAATAAAACTATGACATTTCAGCTGAAGTGTAACAAGAGATTTTGTGTCCTCAAATAAAACTATGACATTTCAGCTGAAGTATAACAAGAGATTTTGTGTCCTCAAATAAAACTATGACATTTCAGCTGAAGTATAACAAGAGATTTTGTGTCCTCAAATAAAACTATGGACATTTTCAGCTGAAGTGTAACAAGAGATTTTGTGCTCCTCAAATAAAAATGACATTCAGCTTGAATTAACAAGAGATTTTGTGTTCCTCAAATAAACTATGACATTTTTCGCTGAAGTATAAAAGAGATTTTGTGTCCTCAAGAGAAAACTGATTGAACATTTCAGCTGGAATATAACAAGAGATTTTGTTCCCTCAGATAAAACTATACATTTCAAGCTGAAGATAACAAGAGATTTTGTGTCCCAGATAAAACTATGACATTCAGCTGAATAAAAGAGATTTTGTGTCCTCAAATAAAACTATGACATTTCAGCTGAAGTGTAACAAGAGATTTTGTGTCCTCAAAAATAAAACTATGACAACATTTCAGCTGAAAGCTTGCAGATTTGTGTCCCCAAGATAAAGCTATTGTCATTTCAGCCCGAAGTGTAAACAAGAGATTTTGTGTGGCCTCAAATAAAACTATGACATTTCAGCTGAAGTGTAACAAGAGATTTTGTGTCCTCAAATAAAACTATGACATTTCAGCTGAAGTGTCACAAGAGATTTTGTGTCCTGAAATAAAGTAATGATAATTCAGCTAAAGTGTAACAGGAGATTTTGTGTCCTGAAATAAAGCAATGTCATTTCATCTAAAGTGTAACAGGAGATTATGTGCCCTCAAATATAACAATGACATACCACACAAAGTACAAGAGATTATAAGTCATGAAAAACAACAACAACAACAAATAATGTGTCCTGAAAAAACAACAATGACATATCTTCTGAAATATAACATCACAGTTACTTTAACTTGAGATCTAAAACCTAGTTGCCAGTTTTATCTTACATCATCACATGATTAGAAGCCATTTTTAAATTTTGAGAATTTATGTGGAAAAGTAAACAACAAATCATTCATTATTGAACTTGGTAAATATTTTCCACATACAAAACTCTTTATCTCTTTAATTTTGTAAAACAAAAAAAAACAAAATTAACCATTTTTTAATGAAATTTTAAATTTTTTTAAAAAGTTTATTTAAAATTTTTTTTACCTTGTATCTTTCCCAAATTTTTCGTAATCTGCCCCGATCAGATGTAATGGAGGTCGGGAGAAAATTTTTAAAGACTGTATAACGCCCGGTTGATCAAAACTGCTTTGGGTTTTATTTTTCATCCCCCGGCCCCCTTTTGATTTTATGGGAGACTAGGATTTCTTTGGCTTTTTAGTAAAATTGAATTTTCCCGACTAGTTTTTAAATCTGCTTTCTGTTTTCCTTTTTAAAAAAAAAATATCTAAAGGATTATGGGCTTTAAAAAAAGAAAAAGGGGGAAGGGGGGCCACACAAAAATTTGGGGCACTTTTTAATTTTTTTAGAGTTTCATAATACGTTTTAATTTTTTCAAAATTTATTGGGTTAAAATTCAAAGAAAATTTTTTAAATTTTTAATTTTTGAAATCAGTATTAAAGAGGTACCGCTAATCGGTTTTTACTGTGTCCCCGGCCTTTTTCCCCCTTTTTTTTTTACTTTTAATTTTTGCGAAAAAACGGTTTTTTTGGTTTTATTACAAGGTAGATTTGTTTTAAACCAAAACTTTAAAAAAACAATAAAAATAATAAAAAATATTTTTGGTAAAAACTTTAAAAAAAATTTCATTTCTCTGTCTACGCAAAAACAAAAATTTTGCAAAAAGCTTGTAAAACCAAAAAAAAGGATCTTTCCCGGTTTTTTCCTTTGTTTTTAATTAGACTTTTGTTGTTTGGCTTTATTTTGTTTTGCTGAACCGGGCAATTTTTTTAATTTTTTCCATTTTTGGTAGCCCTCCCCTTTCCCAAACAAACCCTCCCTTCTTGTCTGTAAAAATAACAGGGTCATTAAATGAAAATTTTTGGAAAAAATGTGAAATAAGGTAAATTGGGTAGCCCCCAAAAAAATTTCATCTTGAAAAAAACCTCTTTTTAAAAAATATTTTTTTGGGATGACAATTTAAAATTTTTTATTAATTTACCAAAACCCCAAAATTTGAAAAAATTTACCTTGACTGCAAATTTCCCTGGTAACCTCATCAAGGTTACCTGTAAAAAATGATATGATTTCTCTTTTTAAATTTCCCCCAAAATACAAACTTTTCCTTTTAACCCAAAACAATTTTGGGGTTCATTTTAAAAAATTTAAAAAATTAATTGGGGTTTTTTTAATGACAGTTTTTTTACTGGATGGGAATTAAACTATCTATAACTGCTATTTATGCTGATTTAAATACATTTTTGGTCATATTTAGAGGTCGGTCAACCTAGTAACAATCTTTCCTGGAAAACTAATCAGTAGTTACCAAATTCTCGCCAGTGACTCATTACTTATCATATATAATTTCTATATCAACAGTAAGAGATAAAATTATTAACCATTAGACTCAGTGTCTGAGATCAGTTGTCATGTAGAAAGTTTGCCTTTCCCGAGGATCAAACCAACAACACTCCGGTTATATATTTGAGCCGCGCCATGACAAAACCAACATACTGCATTTGCAACCAGCATGGATCCAGACCAGCCTGCGCATCCACGCAGTCTGATCAGGATCCATGCTGTTCGTTATCAGTTTCTCTACTTGTTATAGGGTTTGTAAGCAAACAGCATGGATCCTGATCAGAATGGGGCCCAAAATCAGGCTGGTCTGGATCCATTTCTGGTCCCAAAGGGCCCGTATGTTGGTTTTGTTCCCTTACGCTGGGTCATTTGATCTTCAAATTTTAGCCAAGAGGTGGGCCTAAATTTTTTAATCAGAAACCCAGAAAAGGAAATTTAAAAGTCTTCTAATTTTTAATTGGTGCAATTCAACAAGTTAAAACCAGTTTAAGAGAGGTAACCAAGCACTTTATCAAGGCAGCCTATAAGGGACAGTGTTTTGTCTATAGGTCATTCAACAGAATATTTTTCACACTAGAATAGGCCTACAAAGGCTTAAATAAAGTAAAGACAAGTAGAGATCAGATTGCTGAAATGTCCAAGAATGCTGTATGGTTTCATATCCATCTATAAACCATGAAATACTGATAAAGACAGGTTCAGTAACCTACATATTATCATATGAAGTAGTTTAGTGAAGGAAAAAGCCATTTACAAATTTCTGCCACCATACAGACATATACTATAAAATGTGTCATGAATGCTGTATAGCAGTAGTGAACAATGTGCTTTACAAGTCTCACAGATTAATCATACTTTGCTTGGATGACTCAAGCATATATTGATGCTGAGATGATACATTTTACAATAACACATGAATAGATATTGTCTTTCCAGCACATTATATCATCCAGTAAATGGTTTTACAAATATAAATAATACAAATAAAATTAATACACATTTTTTAAAAAGAAATCTAATGCAATCAAAATTCACAAAATTAGAATATTTCACTGTTCATTGGGATGCCACTCTTAACATAATGATAATTTATCTAACTTGAAACATAACCTGTAATTTTGATGTACATCACAAAAAAAAACAACTCAAAAATAATAAATATAAAACTTATTATAACCTTTTTCTTCCCCGACATAAATCCACCTGAGAAAAGACGTGATTTTCTCATATTGATCCTTATTCTAGTTTTACATACAGTTTCATCACATATAAACTAGCATTATATCAGTTCATGAAATTATTTCATGAAAAAAAATACAGTTACACATAATTTCCTAAATTTAGAACCTTTGACACTATTATGTAATATTTGGTTTCCTGTTTCTGTAGTTCACTTTCCATTTCTACATAGAGAATCTGTATCCTGTTTCAATATTGATTACAGAAATTATCATTAAAGTACATTGTACATGCACTGTAAAATAAAATATATATATGTGGCATCTTTGTCAGCAATTATTAAATTTATTTGGTAAGAAAAACATAATAATTAATTTAATGTATATATTAATTATTGACGAGTTAAACTGAAACAAAATGAAATAAATTGAAATCAATATTCACACAATTGAACAGTAAAGAGGGGACCAATATTATGCTTATCAGTAAAACTGAACCTAATGAAAGATTCACTATTCTAATTAATTCTACATGTTTGCCTGAACATGCTTATTTCAGCATGATGGAGATGAAAGTTAATAATTTATTTATAAAGTATCCATTTAATTGAAAGGTAAATCACTAAGCTAGCACTTCTAATACAAATGTTGAATAAAATGGCATTATTTTCACAAATATTATCCAATCAACTTGGTTTTTTAAAATCAGCAATCCACAAGGTGTAACATTTTCTATATTATTTAACTTCCTGCGGTAGTAACATGATGTGTTAAATATTCTCCTATCTGTCAAATTACCGTCAGCACATAATAAACAGTTTCCACTGTTTACTTTGATAAAAACGTTATCTTATTATAAATTAATTTTATGCAAAAATAAAACTCAACAAGGCCAAATTTTGTAAGTTATCAAATACATGTATACAATAAAGTCACAACAATGATTTCATATAACACATATTGATTATGGAGCCAGGCCAGTTTTCATGTAATATATATATACATAGATACATAGATAGTTTACATTTATCCTATTTAATAAAACTTGACTGTAAAACAAGTCCTTGCAATTTCAAGTCTGTTTCCTGGAACTAAGCAGTATTGGTGTCACATGACTCATCTGATATAAGGAAACATGGTTCCGACCCTAGTTGGGACTTGCACCCACAATCTCTGGTAATGAAGCCAGATGTACAACATTTCTTTATAAACTGTTAGCATATAGATAGCAATATCCTGTAAAATTAACACAGAATACTCAGAATAGTTCCAAAGTTAAAGCAAGTTATGTTAATCTATTATACCACTGCCACTGGCTAAGACAGCCTGCATGCCACTTGGTCAGCAGGGTATTTACGAAGTTTACACTGACATACTCTGGACCCAAATCAAGTGCAAAATATTACAATGAACAGTAACTCCAAAATTATGGGGGGAAAAAGCTAAGGTTCTTAAGCAATGTGCAATCCACCATGTCATTTTATCTTCAATTTTACCTTGTTGAAAGGACACAAAATTGTATGAAATTTTACCAAAAATGATGACTTTGACCTTATGCCTGTACAGCGACAAAATTGGTTTTCCACATAATCTTGTTCAAGTGAACTTTTGAGCAAAGTTTGAGGAATATTGTTTTCAAGGGGTATTAATATAGAAGACATAAAATTGTCTGACATTTGACCTTCAATAATGACAATGACCTTGAACTCACATATGGATGGCATTGTTTAGGTGGACATTAGAGTCAAGTTTAAAGAAAATACTTTCAAGAGGTATAGGCTTTACATAGAGCAGACGAAAAAATTTACAGGCTGACCAACCAACTGACCTGATGATAGGACAAAGGTTATTGAAAAATGGACCTTAGTAAAACTGTTTACCATAGTCACAATTGACAGAAATGTCATAAACATATCTGCATATTTTATTCAATAACTAGAGTGTCTTTCCTGGCAAAAATTCTCTATTGTGTCATTATTTGCAGTTCTTTTAGGGTTTCTTTTATGTTTTGACTGTATACAAATCAGTTACTTTAAAGCATGACCTGTTTGCTGACAGCATGCTGTTGGACAGTTAAATAAATGCAAAGAAGAAAAGGGGACCTAATTCTGCAGGTACTTAGTCCTTGATATATAGTCAACATAAATTTCAAATCATACAAAAGTATGGTTCTTTAAGAAAAAGGCCAATATTCTAGGTAAAACAAGAGGGCCATGATGACCCTAATATTGCTCATCTGAATATAAATACACTTAATGAAAATGCACAAGAAGTAATATTGTAAACTATAAATGAAATCAGATACATAATCTAAACCTTATGCTCTTATCACAAAGTTCATATTTGTATCTGAAATAGTGCATGTGTTAAAACATTACTGGTTGCTATGTCTAAGGGAAAACAATAGTTCTTAAGAAGTCACTGGTTGCTATACAAAATAAATGGTTTCCTTGTAAGTCAGTGCCTGCTATGAAATTCAATGACATATTTACTCATTGCTATGGCAAGTTAATGTTTGTTATGGAAGTCACTGGTTGCTATGTAAAAAGCCAATGTTTGCTATGTAAGTCACTGGTTGCTATGAATATTTACAGTTTGCTAAAAGCAATGGCTCTCACAGCAAACAGTTGCTATGGAAGTCATCAGTTGCTATGGAAAGTCAAATGTTGCTATGGAAAGTCAATGGTTGCTATGAGAGTTACAAATTGCTATTTGAAGTCAATGTTTGCTATGGAAGTCAATGGTTGCCGCAGAAAGTCACCAGTTGCTATGGAAGTCTATAGTAGCTATGGAAATTCAGGATTTGCTATAGAAGTCAACAGTTGCTATTGAAAGTCAATGGTTACAATGTCAAGTCACTGGATGCAATGGAAAGTCATTGGGTGCTAAAGTAGTCTATGGTTGCTATGGAAAGTCAATGTTTTCTATGTAAGTCACTGGTTGCTATGCAAGTCTGTGGTTGCTATGGAAAGTCACTGGTTGCCATGGAAGTCACTAGTTTCTATGGAAAGTCAATAATTGCAAAAGTCACTGTTTTTTTTGGAAAGTTAGAGTTTGCTATGGAAATCAATGGTTGATATTGAAAGTCAGTGGTTGCAGTTTTGGTCAATGGTTGCTATGGAAAGCTAATGGTTGCCAGGGAAAGGCACTGGTTGCTATGGAAGGTCACTGGTTGCTTAAGAGGTCTATGGTAGGTAGCTGGTCGCAATGGAAGTCACTGGTTGCTATGGAAGTCAGTGGTTGCTATGGAAAGTCATTGGTTGCTATGGGTAATCAATGGATGCTTTGGGAGTCAATGGTTACTATGGAAAGTCATTGGTTGCTGAGAAGTCACATACATGTATTAGGAAAATCTATGTTCCCCTAGGGCTATGCCTTGAATTATTTTTGTTGAGGTCCATCAGACTAAATATCTGAGATACAGCCCTTGCAGTTTTTTAAGAAGAAAATTTGAAGTATTTACTATATAAAAAAAAGCCATGACTCCCTGAGGAGGGGCCAATTTTAGACCCAAGGGCAATTTGAACAATTTTTGTACAAGTCCACCAGACAATTTTTGATACCAAGCTTGTATTGTTTAATAGAAAAAAGATTTTTTTTTTGTCTGTTATTTTTCTTTTATTCTTCTCATTCAGCTGAACAATGTACATATGTGAGAAACAATTATTTAATATGTACTCCCTGACACAATGATAATGTATATCAACATATATATATTAAACTTACCTTTGTAGTATTATCACTGTTATCACCAATTGTTAATATTTAAGTTAGATAATTGCTCATGTAATTCAAAACTTAAGAGATGATTATGTCAATGTACATGTACATTATGGTTTATATATCAAGATTGTTTAAAGACAAAGAAATTAAATGATTAAAGACATAAGAAAGGCAAAGCATATAAACTGCTTTAAAAGAGTCATGGCAATAAAAGACTTGATGAAAAGTCAAGAACAACCATATCAGTTTAGTTATTAATTTTGTTGTTGTTGGGTTTTATGTCGCATACACAGTAGAGGTCATATGGCCACTCTTCAGCTTTTCTGGCAGAGGAAGACCTCATGTGCCACTCCATGCATTATTTCAGGCATGACCAGGTAACAGACCACTGATGTTCTATCAGCTAGCTGGATGTATTAATGATATATACATTATGGTTAATTATTTTTCATTAACCATACAGCGGTTAATAATTTCCATGACTGTATAATGATTAATAATTATTTTCTGATAGAATAAGGCAGCAGCTGACTTTAGACTGTCCACCATAAAATATTGAAATATTTCCAACAGAAATAGATTCTTTGAAGAACAGACAATATTTAGTTGGCTTATGGAAGGTCAGATAGTGTTACAAAGGTAACCAGCATGGGTTACAAATAATTCTAGCAAGGAAATTTCTTCACTGATTAAGCTGGAAAATTGCCATATGACTGTAACAGAGTTCATGTGACTAAACACTCAGGTTGTAAGGTATTGATTGATTGATTTTCTTTAGACCTGGCTTTCAAGGATAACCTACGAAAGTGCAAGCACTTATTTCCAGTAGGATCCTTACCTCAACAGACTCAAGAGACAGCTATGAGATACAAGGGAGTCCGGAAACCAGTCCCTAGCTCTTATTGAATAGATCCCTTGGTTCTTTTACATGCCCAGTGTAAAGCACTGATACATGCAAGGATTACCTGGGTTTCTTACCAGTAAACCTCTAGGTAAATGGGAAACACTGAAAGTGTCTCTGAAAAATCCCAAGGGTGTCCCTTTAATTATGGTGAGTCTTCAATTTAATGTGAAAGTGTCCAGCACCAAAACAACATTAGCAAGAAAAAGATAGAGCCACTCATGAACCCACAGATGAACAATGATGAATAATATCCCTTGTCTAAAATGGAACAAGTTATATTTGTTTTAAACTTATTTCATTCAATGCAAAAAAGGATAAAACTGTAAGCAACCTAATGCTTATAAAAGACTTTTCCCAATGAATAGTATGTATTAGTACAAGAAAAGGCGAGTAATTTTGTCATTTGTGGATGAAAAAGGCTGTTGTGTTTTATTTAACAGCATCACAGAATAAGATGATACCGAGTCATGTTAGATACTTAAGTATAAATTAAGTATTTTAAAGAAAATACTAAGAGTTCAGATAGAAAGAAAAAGTGAGATACTAAAAAAAAAATGACCTTAAATAAACCTTAATGAAAGTTGATAATTACTGGTTAGTCAAAGTGATTCAATTTTTTTTATATATTTGTGAACTGCAAAAAGTATTTTTTATTATTTATGTCTGACTAAATGCTGTGTTACCATAAAGAATAGTATTTAATTTATCACTACAGTATTTGTATACAGTTTTTCAACTGAGGTCTTATGTTTTGAGGGCAGTTGGAGAAAAATTGAAGAGCAGTTTCCCTTTGTCCGAAAACAAAAAAAAGATGAAGGTATGATATTCTTGGTAAATTGTCTTTGGCTAACTCCTCAAGACATTTGTGCAAAATCTTTTTCTTTTCTTTTCTTCTTCCATAGCAGGAATATTTTTCAAAGTATTTGAATGTTAGGGAAGATATTCTGTTTCAATAGTAATAATGGTTGTAACTAATAATTACAAGGCTACACAAGGGACACATATAAATAACAAGCACAATCTGTTTCAATCACAACAATGCTCACACACTGAAAACCAGAAAATAGAGCACATACTCCAAAGGTGTAATACTGAAAAGATATCAGCCTAAAAGCACTCCACTGAAACAGAAGCACTATGGCCATTAAAAGGAACTTCAAAGGACTGTATCATTCATTGCTGACTGTGTAGATTAGCAAACAAGTCCATTACATAAATACAGAATCTGTAGGGTAAATAATTATGATTTTAGTTTAATTATACCCAAATCTTTAATTATTATAATAACTATAAAATACTATTACCTGTGGCAGGAGTCTATGAGCTGGCCCTGGTTCAGATATTTGTCTTCTTCCAAATCTCATCTTCTTCAAAGTTGTGAATAACTTTCCTGATTTACCAGGGTCAAGGTCATTTTGTGCCTGATTTCTATTATTAGAAGTGTAAGGCTTCCATGTCTCATTTGAATCACTATTACTTGTTCTGCTATTTCCTTTCACACCTTCTTCAGAAATAACATCATTTTTATCTATCACAGTCCAACTTCCTGTATTCCTTGATACATTTCTGTTAGTTCTGGCAGTTAGGGTTTGTTCCATATCCTTTTCATCACTTTCAGTGGAAAGTTGTGAACCAGTCCTGGGTTTTTCATCATTGTCAAGCAGAAGACAGTTTACTTGCTCTGAGCTACCAACAGAGTTAATACTTGCAGTTGATGTACTTAAAATGTCACTGTCACTGCGGACTTTCAGGTCACAATAAAATATACTGTCACTGAACTCTTTTTGATGACCGTCCCTTGAAAATTTCCCTGAAATTTAAATAAATATAAACATGATAAAAAATTTAATTTATTTTTACACTAGAATAACTTATAAATATGAGACAAAGAGTAAAGTGATGGTGACAGCATTTTCTATGCAAGGTCAAAATAAAAATAACTAGAACTGCCACTGTCTTGGCGTGAATACCCCCCATACCACTTTGTCAGAATCAACAGTGGCCATTTAGAGCTCAAGGACAACCTCCCTGCCAAATCTGATGTTAGTAAGCCAGTGCATTTCTAAGTTATGTATTCTACATGCTTCAAATGTGAAAATGTCAAAATCAATACACTGAGGACCTTAAGCATTTGAGCAGACAAGCTTATTGTAGTAAAAAAACCCTGTGACCTTGACCTTTGACACAGTCACCTAATAATCAATAGGGGTCATCTTCTAGTCATAAACAACCTCAATACCAAATATGAAGACTGTTGACCAAAGCCTTCTGAAGCAATTGAGCCAACAAGCTTTGTTAGGTCAAGGTCCCTGTCACCTTTGACCCAGTGACCTAAAATCAATAGGGGTAATCTAATAATCATAAACAACCTCAATATCAAAAATGAAAACTGGGTCAGAGGATTCTTAAGTTAATGGGCGGACAAGCTTTTTTTTTAGTGAAGGCCCATGTGACCTTGACCTTTGACTTCAAAATCAATAGGGGTCATCTAATAATCATGAATTACCTCCATGCCATATATGAAGACAGTGGGTTAAAGGAATATTAAGTTATTAGGCGGACAACTTTATTAGTCAAGGCCTGTCTGACCTTGACCTTTGACCCTGTGACCTCAAAATCAATAGGGGTCATCTACTCATCAAGACTTACCTCCATACAAAATATGAAGACTGTGGGTCAAAGGAATCTTAAGTTATAAAGCAGACAAGCTTTTTTCATTCAAGGCCTGTCTGACACGGTAACCTTAAAATGAATAGGGGTCATCTTCTCATAGTGACTAACCTCCATGCCAAATATGAAGAGTGGGTCAAAGGAATCTTAAGTTATTGGGCGGACAGGCTTTTTTCAGTCAAGACCCCTGTGACCTTCATCTTTGACCCAGTGACCTCAAAGTCGTAGGGATCATCTACTCATTGTGACTAACCACCATGCCAAATATGAAGACTATGGATCAAAGGAATCTTAAGTTATTGGGCGGACAGGCTTTTTTCAGTAAAGACCCCTGTGACCTTGACCTTTGACCCAGTGACCTCAAAATCAATAGGGGTCATCTACTTATCATGACTAACCTCCATGCCAAATATGAAGACTGTGGGTCAAAGGAATCTTAAGTTATAAGGCAGACAAGCTTTTTTCAGTAAAGGTCCCTGTGACCTTGACCTTTGACCCAGTGACCTCAAAATCAATAGGGGTCATCTACTCATCATGACTAACCTCCATGCCAAATATGAAGACTGTGGGTCAAAGGGATCTTAAGTTATTGGGCGGACAAGCTTTTTTCAGTCAAGGTCCCTGTGACCTTGACCTTTGACCCAGTGACCTCAAAATCTATAAGGGTCATCTACTCATCATGACTAACCTCCATGCCAAATATGATGACTCTGGGCTAAAGGGATCTTAAGTTACTGGGTGGACAAGCTTTTTCTAGTCAAGGCCCCTGTGACCTTGACCTTTGACCCAGTGACCTCAAAATCAATAAGGGTCATCTACTTACCATGACTAACCTCCATGCCAAATATGAAGACTGTGGGTCAAAGGAATCTTAAGTTAATGGCGGACAAGGGAAAACAGACGGACGGCCGGATGGCCGGACGGACAACCTGATTCCAGTATACCCCCCTTACAACTTTGTTGTGTGGGGGTATAAAAATATTCTCTAAATAATTATATTTTTTGGCATGAACATTAGTTACTTTAATAAAACTTTATCAAATAATACAAACATAAGTTGAAGAATATTTAATCTTTTACAAAAGGAGCATTAAAGTGTTGAACTACAGATAAAGGTAAATTTATATTATTTGCATAGACTATTACATTTCAAAATTGTAGGCTGTAAAAGTTAATCATATTTGCATAAATCTAAAGGTATTTGCTGATACCTTCCTATAAGCTTTTATTGTAGCACTTCTCATGTATTGACAGCGAAAAGTTTACTAACAATTAGTCATATAGATGTTTATTTTGGATTGCTCATTATGACAAGTATTATAAAGAGGCTATTAAGACTATTAATCATGAGGGTGGATGCAGTGGTCCAGTGTTATATAAATCTAGAAAACCCAAATTTGGTCCAATTTCTACTTCTAATCAAAATTATTATTAATCTTTTAGATGACAAGGTTCTGTGTATTTGCAATCCACATCAATTCAAGTTTTCAATCCATGTTTATAAGCCTCATCATCAAAGAACTGCCTTTGATCATTAATTTTACACAGTAAACATTGTGTAGTATGACAAAGACATGCAATACAAATAAATAATAACACAAAAATTACACACTGTCATGAAATAGTTACAATGTCAATGACTTTAAGCAATTAAAGAAATCAATGTAAACTCTTGCACAATCCTCCACAAAAAATCATAACTCACATGATGGAAATCAACAAAACATATAACAATATAAAATCGTAACAAAAGCAGTAGGGTTTTAGATAAAATCTATTGGACATGTTTTGTTTGAATAAATCTCAGCATTATATAGACTTACTCAAGACCTTTATATAGACTTACTCCAGACCTTTGTATAGATTTACTCTGAAACTGAGAATAATTTGGATTTTCCCAGCTAATCAGGGAGGTACAAACAAATTTTTACAGTTATTACTACGTTAAAAAGTGAAACAACTTGACTAATCTATTGTGAACAGTAGTGCACCATGAAGCTTAGAATAAAGGTAAAAGTTTGTTTGTACTAGCAGATTAGCATGGAGAAAGAAACATTTGCTTAGTTCGGGATAAAATCCATCTAAAATCTATTACTGGTATTATCCTCTTTCCCTCTACAAATTGATATAGAAGTAATCAGGTTATGTTTTAAAGATCCTATACAGTATTTACTGTCAGTTACTATTACAAACTTACGTATGTGTATAATACATTCAATCCTCAATGATTGATATGGTTCAATATTACAAAAGGAAAACAAGTGAAAGTATATTAAAATAATAAAAGAATATATTGTAGAATAATCAACAAGAAAAAGGCATTCAAGATTTGCCATGAGTCAGAATTAAGTTGAAGATTACAGTGTTACGTCGAGGAGTATACACAAAAGAGATACTTTTTTTGGGAATAGGTTTTAAGTCACAGAGATTTTCAAGCTTAACTTGTGGAAATAACATCTCTTTGTGCAATATTTATTGTGCAAGATTGCACCTAAGTGAAACCATCAATATACTGTAAGCCAGCTGGAAAGCTTTCTTACATGTCTGAATTCAACATTTTCAGTGGGATTCAAACCTATAGCGGTAAATCACAAGTGGATGTCATCAACATTAAACAGCTGATAACGGTCCAGTGACATTTACACTATCCAACCCCTTGTAAAGACTCTGTCCTGCATATCAATGACATGATATAGCATGGACAGACATAGAGTAACAAGTTATATTTCCCTTGCTGTGGCCCATACCTTAGGCTGTAGGTCTGGTGGGCAAGAGTACAACTCACTTTTGCATTAAAGACACACCACTTTGAACTATGCTAATAAAGACAGTGAGCTAAGATAAAAAAAATATACATAAAAAGTGACAGAAATAATATGAGTACATCATAAAAGCTTTACCAACTGTTTCTGCTTTTTTAATCTTTTTCTTTTTCCTTGGCTTTGCTAATTATGTACAAGAAAGCAGCACTTTTATTGCATAATTCAAAATATCAACAAATCATCAATTGAAATCATATACCTAAATTAGAAGCAGTATTTGTTATACCTTTCATATGTTACAAAATATTGTTCATGAAAAAGTTAATCATCTTCTTCAAATAACATATCAATAAAAATTTATCTAGAAAAGTCCTGTAATAGGTCCTGTAATGGAATAAAAGTGTTTTTAAATTTTTTTTACAGTGAAATGCTTATAAAAACTGCATGAAAATATTGAATTACTGTTTTTTTATTTGCTAGAAAAAATGTTCCCATTATAACAATTATAGTCTGTGCTTTAAATTTTCTTAATTTGTAAAATATTTGAACATATTCCATTTTGTTTCTCAACATTCTCCACACCTTTTTAATATATTCCCTTGTTTACCAGCATAGTCCTTTGTTTCTCAGCATATTCCCATGTTTATAAAAATATTTCAATATTTATCAACATATTTATCATGGAATTTCCCATGTATATCAACATATTTAGTTTGAACAGGTTAATCAGGATATTATCTTGGGAATTATATTTGTATTTCAACATTGTCATGATACTAAATCTCTTCTGCACAACTCTTGTTTTGTTTTGTTTGTTTCATTTTACGGCTTTTCCCAACAGTATTTCAGTCATATAGGCAGGTAGTTTCCTAACCATCGTTCCTGAAGAGTTACACCAGCACAACTCTTGTAACATATAAAAGTCTTTGGACATACATCAATAATGGTATCAAATAGTAACTTGTTAGTACAGCAGTGTATTTCACTTATAGTAAAACACATGCATCTATTTCTCAAACATACATTATGACTATAATTATAATACCAGTACCTTAAAATGTTATATAAATTGCACATAAGGTTCAATAGCAAATTTACATGTACTACTAACTGAAATTATAAGACAGTTTTTTCCATTACACATTACTCTTAAAACTAGTTACCTGGAAATTTGATGCCAGACATTTTCTGTTGAAACTCTGCCTTCAAATTATTTAAAGCCCACATGGCAGGTCTGCTGGTTGCTGGTGGTAGTGAGTTCAGGCTACTATTGCTACTGTGGGTGTCGGAGTCCGGAACACGAATCTCTGGCAAGTCACTAGCATTAATTGAAGGTTGACTACCAAGTTCTGATGTGCCAGTAGTTTTGGATAACAATCCTCCAGCATTACTGACTCGCTAAAGTAGATAAAACTGATTAAGTCAAAAACTAGAACAAGAGGGCAATGATGGCCCTGAATAACTCACCTCAGAAGATGGTTCAAATAAACAAGATTGCATTATTAAGACATTGGTAGAAACATCAATTTAACCCATTACTTCATATGCACGCCTTTTAACGCCTTTTTCACCCCCCCCCTTTTTTGTTGTCTCAAATGATGAAAAAATGCCTTATTTAGGCCCTAAACACTTGTTTTTGTTTGAGAAATGTTGTTAGAAACAGTGACCTCTTTTTCGGCGCGGCCCCCCAACCAAAAGATACATTAGGGGGTTGCCAGAAGGGGGATGTGCCCCCTTCTGTTTGGGGGGGTTTGAAGGGGGGCGGAGTCCCCCTCATCGCCAAGAAAATTTTGGACTTGTGAGAGGCTGTAAATGACCCCAGATTGATCATAAGGTAACGTGTAACCAACGCTGAAAAGCATTTGACTCTATCTCAATCCATTGAGAAATTGCAGCACTTTGAAATCAATTTTGATGGAAAAAATCAACGCAAAATAGTGATTTTTGGCAATTTTGAGATGTCCCCTCGTTGCCATGGTAACAGAAAATTTAAGCCTGAGCATGTTGTTGCAAGGGCAATGGTCCAGTCAACATTTGTGCCAAGTTTGATTAGTGTTGAAGCAGTTTTTATAGTATTATAGCAATTTGAACTTGTAACGGGAGACTTTACAATGAAAACAGCCATTTTTCACAAAATGCTCATGAAGTAATGGGTTAATGAAAAAAATCAAAAAATCTACAAAACAACAATTTTTCTTCAAATTTATATGACAGGCCATGTTTAAACATGAAAAAACGGGATTTAGGGTAATTTCAAGTATTTTCATCATTTTCTGTTAACCCATTACTTCATATACACGCCTTTTAACGCCTTTTTCACCCCCCCTTTTTTTGTTGTCTCAAATGATGAAAAAATGCCTTATTTAGGCCCCAAACACTTGTTTTTGTTTGAGAAATGTTGTTAGAAAAAGTGACCTCTTTTTCGGCGCGGCCCCCCAACCAAAAGATACATCAGGGGGTTGCCAGAAGGGGGATGTGCCCCCTTCTGTTTGGGGGGATTGAAGGGGGCGGAGTCCCCCTCATCGCCAAGAAAATTTTGGACTTGTGAGAGGCTGTAAATAACCCCAGATTGATCATAAGGTAACGTGTAACCAACGCTGAAAAGCATTTGACTCTATCTCAATCCATTGAGAAATTGCAGCACTTTGAAATCAATTTTGATGGAAAAAATCAACGCAAAATAGTGATTTTTGGCAATTTTGAGATGTCCCCTCGTTGCCATGGTAACAGAAAATTTAAGCCTGAGCATGTTGTTGCAAGGGCAATGGTCCAGTCAACATTTGTGCCAAGTTTGATTAGTGTTGAAGCAGTTTTTATAGTATTATAGCAATTTGAACTTGTAACGGGAGACTTTTCAATGGAAACAGCCATTTTTCACAAAATGCTCATGAAGTAATGGGTTAATGAAAAAAAATCAAAAAATCTACAAAACAACAATTTTTCTTCAAATTTATATGACAGGCCATGTTTAAACATGAAAAAACGGGATTTAGGGTAATTTCAAGTATTTTCATCATTTTCTGTTAACCCATTACTTCATATACACGCCTTTTAACGCCTTTTTCACCCCCCCTTTTTTTGTTGTCTCAAATGATGAAAAAATGCCTTATTTAGGCCCCAAACACTTGTTTTTGTTTGAGAAATGTTGTTAAAAAAAGTGACCTCTTTTTCGGCGCGGCCCCCCAACCAAAAGATACATCAGGGGGTTGCCAGAAGGGGGATGTGCCCCCTTCTGTTTGGGGGGGATTGAAGGGGGCGGAGTCCCCCTCATCGCCAAGAAAATTTTGGACTTGTGAGAGGCTGTAAATAACCCCAGATTGATCATAAGGTAACGTGTAACCAACGCTGAAAAGCATTTGACTCTATCTCAATCCATTGAGAAATTGCAGCACTTTGAAATCAATTTTGATGGAAAAAATCAACGCAAAATAGTGATTTTTGGCAATTTTGAGATGTCCCCTCGTTGCCATGGTAACAGAAAATTTAAGCCTGAGCATGTTGTTGCAAGGGCAATGGTCCAGTCAACATTTGTGCCAAGTTTGATTAGTGTTGAAGCAGTTTTTATAGTATTATAGCAATTTGAACTTGTAACGGGAGACTTTTCAATGAAAACAGCCATTTTTCACAAAATGCTCATGAAGTAATGGGTTAAAAAATTTTAGTGTGCAGAGGTTGGTGTATTATATAAAAGAATATATTTGTTGAATTAATATCTATTCATATTATTATTACAAAATGGACTCTACACAAAGTATATTTACACTGAACAAAACGTTTAAATGGTGACTGGAATTTTTAAAAGATTTTATTTCTAGCTCTTGCGGCAATTTGATCAGCAGACCGGAACCATCTAAGCAACTTTTTATAGAGGCCAATCCAACGACCATTTATGTATAAATTCATCAAAATCGACCCAAGAAGAAATGTTGTTTAAAGTACTTTCCTTTTTAGCTATGGCAGCCATTTTGTTCAGCAGAAGAACCATTTGGGCAATTTTTATAGAAAACCATTCAAGGTTTATTCCTGTATAGTTTCATCAAAATTTACATGACAGTTAAGGAGATGTGGTTTAAAGGTTTTTTTTCTTCTTTTTTTTAAACTCTCGCAGCCATTTTATTCAGTACACTGGTACAATTTTAGAAACTTTAGTAAAGGACTGCCTAATGATCATTTACCAAAATCTATGGGCAGTCAACAACAAAATGTCACACATAAATTATATGACACTTTTTTTTGCCTGACACCTGTGTAATTACAACAGCTCACCTTGAGCACATTGTGATCAGGTGAGCTAAAAAGCTAGTTTATACAATATGCATTACCTTATAATTCTATGCATGTACGAATATATAAAATGAAAAGTTTCATGTCCGCAATTTTTGCTATACAAGAAGCAGGATATGTATAAGTGACCTCACACTTACTTCGAGCATGCCATATGGTAGCAAACTTGCAAAAAATCAAATGCATTAAAACAGGCTGTCATACTTACACTCATGTATTTCAGCATGGTAAGTTTACTAAGTTGATGTTATTTTGAAATCTACAAAAATGTGCCAGCATTATTTGACTGTAAATTATATTCAAATATGAAACATGTGACAGTTGCATTTTCAAAATTATCTTCCAAAAGGCCTACCTTTTACCACAAGATATTAACATGATAAGTTTTACAATGCTGGAAGCAATTATTAACTCATCAAAATGGTGATTTTTAAATGTAAACAGTTGACTGAGAGCAGAGCTGACTGAAATACTTGCCTTGTTTGACCATTGTCCAACTCTATCATGTGACACATTGACACGAGATAAGTTAAATTCTCTCCTCTTATTCTGTAAAGCCTGTAACCAGTACATCATGTTGTGACGGTTCCCTGCATCCAACAAAATCTCCTTACCATCAGATCTATAACATAACCAGTCAATATTCATTTCAATTTAAACATAATAATACAGTTTTCATTTTTTTATCTACATGTATATTAAATTAAGTGTTACTTTTACACGTTTTATCAGGGAGGAGGGTAAGCTAAAGTGTATAAAGCTATATGGTTGCTGTAAAAAGTATTTTTCATATGAATACTTCAAAAATGCTAGTATGAAAAAAATATATGGAAGTATATATGGAAGTATATAATAATATTGTCAGATGAATGAATGGTATGTGCATGAAATCTTTGTTAAACAGTTAAAATCCAACTTACAGACTAACAGCATTATATTTTGTATCGGAACATTTTATTCTGTTTATGTACAATATTCATGTATGTTATATGACAAGAGACATTTTTATATATGATTCTATATCACAATTCTTCCTATAATCCACTATAAGATAAATAGAAACAGTATAATTTTACTGTTGATAAATTTCTATCTAATATTTCATAAGATCTTTAAACCCTTTAATATACTTCTATGACTTTGGAGATTAAAAAAAAAGAATTAACTTGTTACTGTATATAATAAGAGTTATGAACGTAAATTTCTTTTTTCATTTTGCCCCTCCATGATAATATTTTTTTACTTAATTTCAAATGCTAAATTCTTACTTATTTTCAAATGTGTAATCTTTAAATTCTTGATAAAAACTGTTCAAATATGTTATATTATTTTTCTTATTATTCTTTCATGCAATAAAACCATTAATAAGTATAAAACAAATAAAAGTCAACATTATAATTATGTAAAAAATCCTCTTATAGCTTGTTCATAGAGTCCGGAGATAATCCCTTTTATCAGGACAAAGTGAAATAAAATGTTATCAGAAATTCTTAATCCATTGGTTTATATAAAAATTTCTTTTTGAGGTATTTTCATTTTTAACTTTGGTAACTCATCAATAGAATTTGATGAAACTGAAGTATTGTTTGTTTTGCATAGAACTTCTTTTATATTCTTGGAAGTAGTTTCATAAATTACTCATAGATGAATAAAACTTTGAAGATTTCATCATGCAGATAAAACAGGACTTTAATTACATCCTTCAAAACTGAAAATAATAGCTTATGAAAGGAAGCTGCCCATTTAAAAGTTGCAGATAACAATGTCAAGTTATCATACATGTATTATACAATAATTTCCTGCTTTATCAAAGCTGATCTACTTCATCTGTAAATAAATAACATTATCTTAAATTCAATAAGAGCCCAAAAACATGTTTGCTTTTGTTTTTTTACAACATGTAGTCCTTTATTTTGCTTTAAATACTCAATTTTCATTGCGTTTAAATCTTGTTTTTTTGTGGAAAAATATAACCATGGTTAATCAATCACATCAAACTATGTATATAAAAATATGCCTAATTTTTGGTCTGAAATACAATAATTCAACTCTTGTAAATATTACAGTTAAAAACTGTTTACTAGCTTGGGGAGAGAATATGTAAGCAACAAGAAGCTTAGATGGTACAGCCATGGTACAGTATTTTAAGGTATTCAGGTTTAAGTTCCAGTTATGCTAATTCACTGTCAGATTAAACATATTTATTCAACACAAGTTAACAATATTCATACAGTGCAATACATGTTTAAATTGGGCAGAAAGCTATTTAAGCTTATGAGTGTCCTCTCTCAATACACACATAATAAATGTACCCATCATAACTCAGTATGTATGAAGAACCCTAGATTCACAAGTTTGGGTTTGGCATGACATTAGCGATAAAAGTTTAACATTTCATTGAAGGCAATGAGGTAGAACACTTGTTTTATAAAGCAGACAGAATATGTTAGTCTAAAAAGTTCAAACTAAGAGAAATTATATAAAAGGGTGACTGTCAGTTCTCTTCAAGATCATAATGTATTATTGTTGATTTGATGGAGTGCATTCAAAGTTACAAAAATACAGGTAATGAAGAAATTACTTTATTTGGAAAAGTCCTTGTTTATCCCTGTTTCCAGCATCAAAGTAAAAGGAAGCTGTTCCTATATTGATCTCTCCAAGAGGAACCAAATCTTGCGGTTCTCTAAAATAAAAAACACAAATATTAAAATAATGACATCCTAATTAATCTTCTAAATGTTAGCTCAAACATTAACTAATCTATGCAATAGTATAAAGTGAAGCTAGCTTGCACATCAATGCAATCTGTTGTGATTCTACATGTATGTTTTTTTTGGTAGTGTTTGACATTGCACCAACACTGTAACGGTCTTATGGCAACTTTTGAGCTTTTGTGGCGGAGGAATACATCAGGTCATCCATGCATTATTTCAGGCACAAACAGGCAGCTGAATAGAAACCACTGATGTTCCGTAAGCTAGCAGGATCTAAGCCTCCTCACATGAAATAATCCAATGTCCCTGATAGGATTCGAACCCACAGCAGTGAGGTGCAAGTGGTTTGAAGTCAATGACCTTAACCACTCAGCCAACAACTCTATCTGGTAGTCATCTCAACTTGTTCAATATTATCAATAATTCACTACTTGCAAATTGTAAGCAAGGCATTATTTAGATTTATAATTTTTTACATTAGGTTTTATCATTTTTTGTTATTTTTATAAATGTAACAAAATTTGAAAAGTTCATAAGGATCTTACACTGGCTACCAGTACAGGCCAGAATATCTAGCTCGAGAGTGTAATACAGGTTTTTCTAGCACCAGTGTAGACAATAGATAATCCTGTCTGATATGTTAGAAAATCCTAAGATTCATTTAATATGCCCTAGTCCAAAATATTAAAGAAATACACATGTTGCTTTACCAACTAAATGTAAAGTTATATTTTGTTCTTGTTTGTTTTCGTGAAGAATACTTTTTAGAATGGTTTTCTTTCAGGATTTTTTCTTTAAAAAAAGTCAAAGAAATTTACTTCACACTTGAAATACAAAATGAGGGCCAATTTCAAAGGGCTGATAATCCTGAAATTCACTGCACATTTATTCCCCTTTGATATAAGCAGCAACTAAAAATGACCTGTTTGATCAAAATTAGCACCTCAATAATGTATTGATAAAAAAACACTCAAAAACTACTACAAAGGTCATGGCTTTTATGTTATAATTAGTTATCTTAGATTCTTATTAATATCAGTGAAACCTAACCCAGACACATTAGATCTCCGTACTTAATATATATATTTCTTAGTACAGAAAGTTTTCTTAATTATGAGGATGATTATCGCATGTAAGGTTGTCCAACTAAGGTATATTAAAACCTGTACAAAATATGATAAAATTATAAAATTATATTTGTTCTCTCCACTATAGCTGTTATCAGGAACTCAGAAAATGAGTGTTTTTTTTTTTATCTAATATTAGTAATAACAGGGTGCAAACAAACTTCTGTTGTTATATCTTCATGTTGCTTTACTGTTTGTAAAAGTTTGTTTGTACCCCGAATGAGAGAGAAACCAACATTTGCTGACTTTCGATGTATTATAAGTTATTATTTACAATAAGAAACATGATGTATTATAAGTTATTATTTACAATAAGAAACATGAGTTCTTGATTATGAAATCATAATTGAGATTCTGGGACATGTGCCTCCTCAAACATTTGCCCTCTTTTTTTGTTGTGGCAGACATAATTTTGTCCCCTCATATGCATTTGCCCTCCTAAAATAACGAAGGGTGGTCATTTGCCCCCATGTTTAAAATTTTTAAGCACAGCTATAGACTACACATGTATATTTAAAAAGAAATCAAATAAAAAACAATTGAAAAATATATAGAATTCTGTAACTATCAATAAAATTTTTTAAGTTTCAATTCGAGTTGGGTGCCATTATTTTTAATGTAACTCAAGGATAAACACCATGGTATTCCTTTAACAGAACAATCGCAACTTTTTGGCTTAAAAATAATCACCAAGGAGTTCAGATTTGTCTACTTTCATATTATCTTTGCAATTTGTTCCATTTATTTTTACTGTTTTCTTTTAAGGTTTTGCCTAGTATATGAACATAATAATAAATAAATTAGCGGTTTCAACAGTGATCTTAAACGTATGTCAGTTCAATTTTACTCATAATCATTAACCTTTAATGTTTATAATATCATTATGCATGAATTAAGATTGTAAAATAATACTTAAAATGTTATTTAAACAGTAAAAGAATGGTAAATTGATAAAAGAAACTAGGAAATTATACCATCAAGCTTTACTTTGTGTTTGCTCAAAATTCATTCTATATTTTTTACAGTAAATTTAACACATAGGGCAAAATTTAATGTCAGCCCTTCAAAATTTTAGGGGTCAAATGTCCGCCCTTCAAAAAGATGAAAGGGCAAATGCCCCCCTTGACATCAAAGGGGGGGGGGGGCAAATGCACAGAGGATAACTGTCAGAGGGGGCATCGAGGTTTTTCCATGTCTGAATTATCACACAACTTTAGTACTTTATGTACTATCCTGTACATTACAATGCTTTTTTAAACAATTTAAAATCAAATCTACCAGGATTGTTTTTAAATGAATTGGTATTTAAATTTAATAGTATTCACATACATATTTTCACAAATCATCTTGTAAACCAATATGAACATTTCCTGTTTTAACATTATAAAAGTGCCAAAACGTCTCACTGAAACGGACCGGAACAATCTTGTGGACAATTTCTGCACTTATGCCGATTGGGTTCAGCCTGAAATGTTATGTGTGCTCAACATCACTAATTCCGCGTCATCACTTATCTCGCAGTAATGGCATATTTTCATGTGACCAGTGTTAAAATTGGTCAGACTTGACATATTTCATTCAAACACCTTAACAACAAAGTTTTTGTGCAAAATAGTTTAAATCTATATATTTTTACGTAAAACTGAACAACATTTTACAAACTTCTGCAAAAAAACAACAATAGTCCATTAAATTTGTGCATACGTCTGAAACAATCATCAATTTCTAAATGTTCTTGTTTGTTGAAAAAATAAATTTTGATATACAATGTAAAGATACTTTTAATATTTAAAATTATGCAAAATAACATAAAATTTTTTTAACTGAAACATGAAACAACTGAAATAAAACACCTTTACCGCGAGTTAAATGATGACATACTATTTTCAAAATGGCTGACACACGGTCTTCATCTGACAAATTAAAACTAATTTTGATTGAATATATTGCTGTTTCCTTGTGTCATATAGCAGAAAAATATAACTAAATGATACAGTTTATGGCACTTTTTGTAGTGTAAGTTTATTGTTTGTGTTCTTTACTGTTTTAAAGTGTTAAGTACCGTGAACTAAGAGGAGCACAGTATACTGTATGCAATTGACTTAGGATCAAATACATATATATTTTTTTTAGAAATCATCACTGTACAATGAACAACTTGATGCCAATTTTTTTATTTTTGAACAAAATAACTAATTACCTGTATATATACAACTTGCAATTTTCATCACCAAACTGAAACCATCTTAACCTCGTTGTTTTCAGGTTACCTATTCCTCTAGCACGTTGATGCAGCCATCCACATAATCTCTCTTCCGGGTTTTTGGATTCTTTCGTTTCATTATCCTTCGTATTTTCTTCATTATCATTGCTACACGATGTGCTATCACTAGTCTTGCTGTCTATTTCAACCGTATTTTCTTCTTGTTGAGTGATGTCAACATCATCTTTTAGCTCTAGTTGTTCAATTCTGTCTGTTATTTCAAGATTATCTCCTCCCTCCTCCATTATTGTTTACATCTTCAGAAAGCTAAATTCACGACAGACAAATATAACGCACCGCTTTTTCTAAGGGAAATCACTCTAAAGTAAAAAATTGACAAACAGTTGCGTGAGAAAAAATTGAAGAAAATGCCTGCTGACACAGATAAGAGGGACCAAGACCTTTATGAAAGGATTGAGACATTCATAGATGATTTAAAACAAGGGTGATAATTTACCTCCAATTGATAAAGGACTTAAAGTTAACATATGGAAAGGTGGGTGGGGTAAAACTCAATACCCAATGGCATAGGAACTTGGTTTCAAGTCAGTTGTTATGGCAGCTGTTGTTATAACTGATATTGGTGATTTGCCATATATCTGATTATCCTAAGCCATCGGGTAGCTCAATAGGGAGAGTGTTGGGCTGTGATTCGGGCGACCCTTGTTCGATTCCTGGATAGTGCAGGTCACTTTCCTTGTAATTGATGATCATTGATCATGAAATCTTTTCTACGGTCATTGCCCCTATACCCCTGGTCTAGCATGTAAAGAAGTTTGAGTTCCTTGCGAAAGTGGAGCATCTTCTATGGAATAAGGCTAAGCCTATGAATGGGGAAGTCAGTAAAAAAAATTGTTCATTAAAGGTGTCATTCTGTATATCATGCACTGCTTCCCTTTTTCACTTGGAACGCTCGAAGATAAACATAAATCCAAAAAGTTGCGATTGTTTTGTTATTGGAATACCCAGCTTAGTATTGTTGTATCACATTGAAAATGGTGGCGCCATACTAGAACTGACTCTGAAAATATCATTGTTGGTATAGAATTCTATATTATAGGGCTAGCAAATTCTTTGAGCCATTTTTTCGTGGCGAAAATTGGCTGTCTGTATTTTATTTTCAAATCAAGCAATGGTTTGGCATGAGATATTTAGAAAACATAAACTATATCCAACTTTATTTTGGTAGCTACATTTTTATCAAATTAACAATCTTGCATATATAATTTACAGTCAGTAATCATAAAAGTTAGAGGTCAGTAATTATATAACATTTGCCAAAAGTTAGGCATCAAGGTTCCCTTTAAAGCATGACAATAAGGTCAATCTTATTTTTTTTTTCAAGAATACTCTGTAAAGCTTCAAATGTCAAATAAATTCCTTCTCAATTTTATGTTTTTGGAGCCATAATTAGGTTAGATTTTATTGACAATAATCCCCCCTCCCCAAAAAAAACCAACTCATAATTTCTTTGATCTGTTTATCAACAACAATTAAATTTACTGGTCAAGTCGCCAACTGCAGTACATAATTTGTCGCTATTTCATACACAACTGCTGATTTGATTAGCGATAATCTTGAGATGCCGCTAGTTATTGTTTCATATTGAATATTATGTGCATATTCTACAATCTGCCAGGTATTTTCACACCAATTAGTGTCATAAACATATAAAACATACCATTAGGTCAATGTATTAGACTGTGTTACTGTTCATGTCAATATTTCATTCAGAAGGGAAGTTACAAATATAAACCAGTCAATGACCCACAAGAAAGTAGACTGTGTCGCTGTGTTTTGAAAAAGTGATAAAACGGAAGTCATAGATGGAAAACCAAATTTGTACTTTTCCATTCTTAAAATAGAAAATGCTAAATTTAGACTGGAGATTCCAAAAGTCATACTTTTCGTAAGTTTGAGCCAATCGTGATTTTCATGAGCCATTTTAATTATTTTGGAGCCAATTTTCTTTCAAATATACACATGTAATCTAAAGTCGGGCAAGCCATAGCCCTAGCCCTCTTTCCGGTCCTGGCCTTTGACTTCCCTGTATTACTTGTTAAGTGCTTGACAGCTTGCCCAGGAACGATGTGGTGGCTGAACTGCTCTGGTAAATTCAATGTTGGTTACTGCCAAGATCTAGAGTAAAAACTTCCAACACCACCACTCTGATTACCCCCTAAATACATTAAAGATTGCCTTTTGATATTTTTAATTCTTGGAAAAGCAACATAAACAATGACAAGCAAATACGACAAGTAAACTTGTAGAGTCATACAGCAGGTTCTGTCTCTTATATGTATATGCATTATTTTCATCACCGTGACTTCCCATAAATTTATGACCAAAAAAATGTCTAGTATAAACGATGCATAGAAAAGCCCGGAAAAAAGTAAAAACACTTCAAAATATTAAGAGGATATTTTTTTGTTTGAGTGAAATATGGACGTTGAGTGAAAATATGTGGCATTTTATCATGTTGAGTGAAAAGTATATCATATTTCACGAAAAATGAAAAAATAACCTTTTTATTTAAGAAATTGTTTTGTTTCAATAAAAGTTAATGAACTTTTAGATATTGAATTTATTTAACAAATACATAAATTGTATGTATTGTTGATATCTGTTGTGCATTTGGGTGCAAGAGGTAAAGAATTGTGCATTCATTTTACGGGTATATTGATGCAGGCATCTGATCTACTATTATATTAACCATTATTGTTCATGTACACACTAAGTATAAACAGAATTCAGCAATGTCACTATTTGTTCTGTAAAACCTAAGAATTTGAGTTTAAATGTTTTCAATGTTCTGATCTAAATGTTTTGCAATTATCAGATTTATGTAAAGATGTATATATTGTTTTTTTGCAGTACAATACAAGGTTCATTCAATGTTGCATATAAGACAGTGTCTCTGATGGTGAGAATTATATCACAGACAAAATGGATGAATGCAAAGTAAGTAGTCATCATTATTTGGAAGATAGCAATATGTTAGCATGATAGTGATCAGTACTTAAATGATTTGAGCCGCATCACGACAAAACCGCACAGTCTGATCAGGATCCATGCTGTTCGCTTAGAAACCCTATTACAAGTAAAGAAAATGATAGCGAACAGCATGGATCCTGATCAGACTGTGCAGGTGCGCTGGCTGGTCTGGATCCATGCTGGTCGCAAACGCATTACGTTGGTTTTGTCATGGCGCGGCTCAAATATTCATATTGTCCTTAAGTTCTAATGAATCATTATAAAAATGAATTGCATATGCCTGTTGATATTTAATGATATGTCATAATATTGCCATGGCTATTTTATTTAAGTGCATTTAGTTACAACATTGTTACACATATCACTTTAAGTATAATTATGATTATACTATTTCATTAAGTTTATTTTTGTACTAAAATGCCATCACATTTCCACTATCCAGTGTTAAGATTATCTCTATATTATGATATCAATATTAAAAGTAAAAATAAATATTAAAAAATAGCTTTTATTAAATGTAATATTTTTAGCTCACCTGTCACAAAGTGACAGGGTGAGCTTTTGTGATCGCTTTTCGTCCGCCGTCCGTCGTCCGTCCGTCCGTAAACTTTTACTTTAAATGACATCTCCTCATAAACCACTAAGCCAATTTCATCCAAACTTCACAGGAATGTTCCTTTGGTGGTCGTAGTAAAAACTTAAAAATCTTCTTTTAAAAAACCCAATGAGCTAGAGCTTAGATGTTTAGCATGAAATATCTTCTTATGGATGTCTACCAAGTTTGTTCAAATAAAAGCCCTTGGGTGAAAATTGGCCCTGCCGGAGGGGGAGGGGGTGAGATCATTGTTTTTCATTACATGTGTGTAGTAAAAACTTAACATTGTGAAACATCTTCTAATGAGTGTCTTCCAAGTTTGTTCAAATAAAAGCCCTGGGGTTTAAACTGGCCCCGCTCCTGGGGCCTATATACAGGTGAGCGACCTCAGGGCCATCATGGCCCTCTTGTTTGTTGTTCTTATCTTACATAGATAAATAAATTATTTTGTAGAGAACTGATGGATATAGTAAAGACAGAGGGACAGAAAATGATGGCTGCCCAACCGTCTGAGTCTGCCATAGGTAACATGGTGCGTAGAGTACTCAAAATCATCAGGGAGGAATATGCTAGGTTTGTCAATTTCTTTTAAGATTTCTTACATTTTATATCATACCTGAGTTTATATTGAAAAGCCAATCTAAAGACAATTTTTGTTTACTATTATATGAAGCTCAGTTGTTAGTTCTTTATCAGTTATACTAGAGGGTACAATTGTTCAGAATCACTCTATAATGGATTTTTAGTTTGCCCCTCTCCAAGTCTTTCTTCCAGTCAATCCTTTACATTTATTGGGATTTGCAAAAATGAATCCCCAAGATGAAGTATTTTACCAGTTCTTCTTATCTTCCATAGGTGGTACAGTAGCATTAATCTTTGCATTGCATAAGAAAGTTAGATATATATGTAGGATTATCTTGCAGCTTTATCACTTACTGTAAATGAAATAATTCTGTTTCAGTGGTCTAAAGGGCAAATCTGAAGAAGGTGATCCACAAGAATCTTTACATGTAACTATCTTAATTCTTACTTATCTGTTTTATTTATTTGTACTCCAAATATTGTTAAAGGTTTTCCTTGGTATAAGATGTTATTTCTGTTTTGAGCTGAATGTAGATTGTCACATAATTACACAACACATCTGAAATACATGTGTTACAAAAGGTGGCACCATGGCAGAGTGATTAACATATCAGTTTAGGATCAATATCCATGTAGGTTATCACCCATCAGGCCATTGTTTCCTTGAGCAAGAAACTTTACCCTCCTTTCTTAGTACTAGAAGTTGGCTCCAGGAACAAGATTGGAAAGTGTGACTATAAGCTTAAAGCTCCCTACACAATCAAACTAAAATAAATTCTGTACAAGCTAAATATTACAATTTATCCATACAGTATGATCAGATTAGTATTTTGAAAAAAGATATTTAGCCCTCGAGTCAAGATCAGTTACTGTCTTGTTGAAAGTTATTGATTAAAACTATTTATTGAGATATGAAGAATCCTTGTATATTAATGTTTATAAGTATGCATATTAAAACTAAGTTACATATTTTTATTTGTAGAAATTATTAACAGCGGAGGGTCAGATTGATGACTTTACATTACCTGTGCGAGACCTTAAAGCCACTGTCATAGAGGCAACCACAGAACTCAAAACTGAACTTGAAACGAGGTTAGTCAGGAATATGTCATACACTTTTCTCAAAATAGAGTGACATTATTTAAATTAAATTAAGAATTTGGAACCATGTTAGGTGAATGTAACTGTATAAATATGAAGATTTTGTTGTTGTTATTGTTGGTTTATATTTAATGTCAAAGACATGCATGTTTATTAGTAAGTAAGTAAGTAAGTAACAACTTTATTTAATGAGGCTAACACTTTCAGTTTCCCGATATTCCATGCGGGCTTTAAACAAACAAACCCAAAACTTATGTAATAAAAAGGAATTCAAACATGATCTAGTGTTATGCATTGTAAACAACCAAATTTGCATATTGATGAATTTGAATGTTGGAATTTAAATAGAATAATTGTTAAACAATAAATGTATGTTGGCTTTATGATACATCAATTTTTTAGGGCTGCCAAGTATGAGAAATTATTTTTAATACAGAAACATTCACATTCTCACAATTAACAGTTCAAAAGTGACAAATTGATTGACATCAAATATTGAAAATATATGTTGGCTATAGATTACAGTAAAATGTTTCAAGTGAGCTTTGAAAAGGATATGTACTTTTCTGGCTCTTCCTAGCATTTTCTGTTTACATTATTGTTTTAAATAATGTATATTGTATTACATTGTTTCAGTGGTGATAATATTGCTACACAATCTCTTGAACACATCCATTCTAATGAAGTTATAATGACTGCAGGAAAATCTAAAACTGTTGAATCATTTTTAAAGGTATGAAATTACTTAATTGATTTATTGATTGATGCAGCTTTTCTCTGTAGTGCTGTGTGTTAATTAATTAATCTTGTTTTGTTATTGATTCAAGTCTATGATGCACAATTCTACCACCATTGCTTAATTTATCTTTTTCTTTTCTTTAACTCTTACCATGATTAATAAAAAAAAGAATTGTCCACCTTTCAATTTGAACAACACTATTCACCTTTTTGGGCAGAAATTTAAAAATATGTACTGACTAAAAAGTGAAAAGTGCTGGCCTAGATAGAATAAGTTGTTGCAAGAAGACTAATGGATAACTTTTTTTAACACATGTTTGTGAGGATATTTTATTCTTGTAGCACCTATATATCATGTTAGTATTGTAAATTTATGTGTACTATTAGTTCTTATTAGTTTAGGATTAATAACTTAAAGTACAAAGTGATGTTAGAAAAGCTGAGATACATCAACAGTACTTACTTCTATATCACTGCATTTATAAACTCCATGCAGTGCAATATTATTTGACATTGCACATGTAATAAAAAATTATTTTCTAAGTTTATCCCCAAATGATGATTTATTTTTGACAGATATTATACCTTATCAGTTTATGTGTTAACTTGTTTACCTGTATATAGAATGGAAGAGTTTTCTAGAACTATTTTATTATGAATGTATATTTTCAGGATGCTGCTCGTAAAAGAAAATTTCAGGTCATTGTTGTGGAATGTGCTCCATTTTATCATGTAGGTAGACAAATGTTACTATTTGGAATTATTTGGTTCGAGTATTATTGATAAACTTTTATGGTCTAGGATGAAAATGACTTTGTTCAACTTTTACTATAGATTTCTTCATGAGTTATAACATACAATTTTAACACAATTGATTTTCTTTCCCATTCAAATAAAGAAAGTTACCCGGTACTTTATAATGAATCACAATTATGAAGATAGGAACATAATGTAATAGCATTTGCCATTGTATTGCCAAAAATATCTCAAAATGTTTAGGTATAGCACTGTGTTTTGATTCTACTAAGTTATATGTGTATTTCATTTGATTTTACTGTTTGGTAGTTACATAAAACATTATGTACAAGCAGTAACAACTTTTGTGTCACAAAATTACAATTTCTTAAAATTCTCTTAAATCAGTGCTGGAAGATGTATAATCTCTTAGGAACCTCAGTGGCAGAGTGGTTAGAGTTGTTTACTTTGAATCTTTAGCCTCTTTGATGTGGCTTCATTTCTAACTAATGACTTTTTAGCTCGACTATTCGATAAGAATAAGTAGAGCTATTGCAGTCACCCGAGCGTCGGCGTCGGCGTAACCACTTATGTTAAAGTTTTTGTAATAGTTCAAATATTTTCAAAGTCCATTGACATATGGCTTTGAAACTTTGCACACTTGTTCACCATCATGACCCCAACCTGTAGACAGGAGGAGGTAACTCTATCAAGCATTTCGACAGAATTATGCCCCTTTTTCGACTTAGAATTTTCGTTAAAGTTTTTGTAATAGTTCAAATATTTTCAAAGTCCATTGACATATGGTTTTGAAACTTTGCACACTTGTTCACCATCATGACCCCAACCTGTAGACAGGAGAAGGTAACTCTATCAAGCATTTTGACAGAATTATGCCCCTTTTTTGACTTAGAATTTACGTTAAAGTTTTTGTAATAGTTCAAATATTTTCAAAGTCCATTGACATATGGCTTTGAAACTTTGCACACTTGTTCACCATCATGACCCCAACCTGTAGACAGGAGGAGGTAACTCTATCAAGCATTTTGACAGAATTATGCCCTTTTTCGACTTAGAATTTACGTTAAAGTTTTTGTAATAGTTCAAATATTTTCAAAGTCCATTGACATATAGTTTTGAAACTTTGCACACTTGTTCACCATCATGACCCCAACCTGTAGACAGGAGGAGGTAACTCTATCAAGCATTTCGACAGAATTATGCCCCTTTTTCGACTTAGAATTTACGTTAAAGTTTTTGTAATAGTTCAAATATTTTCAAAGTCCATAGACATATGGCTTTGAAACTTTGCACACTTGTTCACCATCATGACCCCAACCTGTAAACAGGAGGAGGAAACTGTATCAAGCATTTTTTTTACTATCAAGCACTAAGAATAGTCGAGCGTTGCTGTCCTACTGACAGCTCTTGTTTCACGTTAGGAAGTTATCAAGCAAGCATGTAGAAGGCTGACAGTTCAACTCTGTTGTCCGCTTGTTTCTGTAATGCTGGGAATATGTTATGTTCTGCATGAACATATGTTGTAACCACAAGAAACAATGTGTTCTGTAAAGCATGAGAAATTGTCTAGAACACATTTATTACACACAAATATTTGATGTTTATATTACAGGGTCAAGAGTTAGCAGTTAGCCTAGCCAAGTCAGGAATAGAGACTACTGTAATTAATGATTCAGCTGTATTTGCAATAATGTCTCGAGTCAACAAAGTTATCATAGGAACTCATACAGTAATGGCCAATGGAGGGTAAGGTTATTTTATATCTTGAAATGGAACTCATATATTTTCCAATATCATATATTATAATGTTGATGTTGATAAATGCCGGTAAAATTAGCATTATTTGCAAAGCTGGAAATTTGACTTAAGTTTTGTTTTCCCTTTGTTTTGGCTATAAGTACTTGCTCTTACTATACTACTGTGCTGTCATATTTTCCTGGTCTTTCTAAATACATTCATTATTTAGGTTGAATACTGCTTATGTTGTGACTACCATAGTGTGAGACATGTTGCAGTTTTCATGACATACATGATTGGCATTAAAAAAAGTTATTAATTAAAATTGTTGAATTGTCATTTTGATATTTATTGAAAAAAATTAAATAAAATGTTAACTCTTTTTATTATTGTTTTTAGGTTGAAGGCAATAAATGGAAGTCATGCTATAGCTCTGGCTGCTAAACATTATTCTGTACCGGTAAGTGTTTTCTTATACTGAATTTGTTGATTACTGAAATGGAATCATCTTACCTTAAATACAACTGGATAATAAATATGACATAATTCTTTCCTCAGAATATAAAAATGTAACTGTGTATTTTATACTTTAATCAAAAGTATATCTCTTTAAAAGCAATGTTTTAACATTACGGCATCTGTTCATTGTATTCATATGTCAGATAAGATATTGGATCTTATGCAAATTAGAATTTGTAAAAACACTGTGTTTGATTTCATGTGTATTGTTTCAGCTGGTTGTTTGTGCTGCTGTTTTCAAGTTGTCTCCAGAGTTTCTATGTTCAGAAGATCAGGTATGTATTTTCTTAATTGCTGCCAAAATGTAAGAAAAAATATGCTCCTTTTACCTATTGTAAAGAAATCTGAATGATGTGTTATCATTTAATACTCATATGTTGCTAAGTGATAGAGTTGCCTGCCACTGAAACAAAGGATTTAGGGTCTTGAGTACTATAGGGGTTGTAACCATGTTATTTATTTATTAACTAATTCTACTGATAAGTTTAAAAAACTTGTTTTACAATATAACTCACACGAAATATGTTTAATCTTACAGCTGTAAAAGTTTATTGTCTTAACCTAGATAAAGTTGAAATAAATTTTCTATTCCAGGAAGCATTTAACAAGTTTGAGAGCCCAGAACATGTAATGAAATTTTCTGAGGGTAAAATTCTCTCACAAGTTCAAATACATAACCCCGTATTTGATTATGTGCCTCCAGAACTTGTAACTCTCTACATATTTAACATGTAAGTATTTTATACATGTCCTCTGAGTTTTCATAATTTTGTTAAGAGACTTATGTGATATTTATATAGGGAGAGCTGTTATACTTGCCCTGCGGTTGGCGTCGCTGTCAAACTTTGGTTTTTCGTGCATGTTGTTTCTTCAAAACTACTGAAGAGAATGAGTTGAATATAACAGAACATGGTGGGCACAGGTCCTCTACCTCTGAGTTACCTTTTTCAGAATTATGTCCCTTTTTTTACAGTCGAGCACTGAGAATAGTCGAGCATGCTATCTTATTGACAGCTCCTGTTGTGTATTCCACTTCATTTGACAGTAGTGTGTATATGTTTCTAAATATGAAATGAGTTTTATAATAATAAAGTAAACATGTATTGTCACTTTGTATGTGTGTATACTAAACATAAAATGTTTGTATTTACAGTGGAGGTACAGCACCGTCTTATGTTTATCGACTCCTCAGTGAGTTCTATCATCCTGATGATCATAGCTTATAACATTGTGACGTTCTAGTGCCACAGAGGAAATGGAGGAATTGTTTTGAATCATGTTAGACTCATGATTATCTCAAGCTTTTTGTGGATAAAAATAATGAGTGTGTTATTAGAAAAAAAAAAAGTTATCAATGCTAGCATTTCATAGTCCTGCCTGCAACATATGGACCTTGCATTTTTCCCCCAGAAAAAACAGAGGTTTCTAGAACAATGGAAGATATCATGCTTATATCATTTTACTGTTCACTTATATTTTATGTAGAGGGCAGGCAATTTTTTGAATATAGGCAAATATACAGGCAAATATTTAATTTAAAAGTGACTTTTTTTATGTTGCAAAAAGTGCTTTATAGAAAAAATGATGATTAAAATCAAAGAAAAGTATATTTTTGGTTCTTTTTCATAATTTTTGTCTTGTTTGTAAAAAATACATAGGAAGAGATACTTGTTTTTCAATATAAGAAATACTGTACACATAAAGTTATATATTCACCTCCTTTGTTCAACGATTAGAGCTGTCATCAATAGAAATGACAGTGATGTATCATCAATATTTTTCTGTTGATCAATAATCGATATACACGTGGAAAAATCTGATTGAAAACTAATTAAATAAATGTTAAAAAATTATGCAATTCACCCAAAACATACAGAAGCAGGTTTCCATATCTAAAGCTACTACTGCTGTTATGTAATTTAATGGCAGTGATTAGAGAAAAAAATCATGCATTGGGCATTTTACAACAAAAAGACACATTATAATTGTATGAACACAATATGAATATGTATTTTACTGAAATGATTTAAACAGGTATGAAAATGAATTATAGACAAGACATACCAGTAATAAGTTATTATTGATGTATCAGTGTATTGCTAATATTTGTCATCTGATATTAACATATTGTTGATATACCTTGCACCGAATCAATGACAGTTGTAGTATAAGGTGAGAGCTATAGCTGTACATAATGTTCTTGTAGTTTTTATGCTGTAAAACAAAGGATGAACTGACCATACAAGTAAATGCTAAAATCTTATTTCCTGCTATATGCAGACCTGGGGTAATCACTAATCGTAATCATCGATTTTTTAATTGATTACATGATTACACTGTAATCATCATGTAATTGATTACCTTGCTCAAAATTGATTACATTAATTGTAATTAATCAATTACAGCTTAAATTCAGTCTGTAATTATGATTACAATTTGATTGATGTTGATTACTTTCAGATTTTACATGAAACTATTGAAATTCAAATGATTTATTTCACATGTTACAGTTTAACTAAGGTAGTAAAATATCAAGTGAGACATTTTAAGACATCACTCACAATGAAGAAATAAGTTTTAATCCATACAGTTAACCAAATTCTAACTGAAAGATAGACATCATTGTTTGGCTGGTATTCTAACCAAAATGTCAATCATTGGATTTATGATGTCTTTGAATTTCCTAAAGAAACATCTGGAAATGTGACAGCACAGTGCAAATTGTGCCCTTAGAAGATAAATGGAAACATTAAGTCACATTCAAAGTTCATTACCCACATAAAGGTATGTTAAATTTTGTTTCACATATTTTGGTTAAACCATTTTTAAAAAGTTTCAAACACTATAGATAACTTTTTTACTTTGTATATTCTAGAGTTTATGTCAGATGCATATTACCATATTTTAATTATATGCAACAGTTATTTTGTAAGGTGATAGACAATGTGTCTATATTATAATGGATACTGTTGTACCATTGAAGTGTTTGTAAAAAAAATGATAATTTCTTTGTAAAGTCTATTGTCTCTTTGAATTCCCATATAAAAATTTATTGTTTTCACACCTGTTTTAACACCTGTATACAGCATACTGTACAATTGACACTTTTCAAAATTTCTGTTGCAGAGAGTTCATTATGAAACCTACACCCACGAGACTGAGGACCATTCCTGCATCATTGGCTCCCGTTAGAGCGTTTGTTTAGTGTTGCGGGTAAAATTTTCCGTCCTGATAGATGCAGTCTGACTGACAGAGGGTTTCATGAACTTATGATGCTAAAGTGCAATGCTAAAATATGATAAAGTGATGTGACAGTAACTAAAAGTGTGTTAAAATGATGACTGTTGATAAGCTGGAAATCCTTTGTGTATATAATGTATATAATGTATATATTAAATAGCATTGAGAAACTTTTGTTTATAGTTATACATGGAATGTAATCAATTATCAATCAATTACTTTCTTAAAGTAATTGTAATTTAATTGATTACAGAGGCAAGTCTGAGTAATCAATTGTAATCAATTACAATAAAATCTGAAAGTAATTGTAATTAAATCAATTACTGATCAATGTAATCATCCCCAGGTCTGGCTATATGACACAAAGAAACAACTTATTCAATCAAAACCACATTTAATGGGTCAGAGTCGGTCATTTTTGAAACAATCCTCATGACTCTTGAGGTAAATGGTGCTGCACCCTTGTTTTTCAAGTTTTTAATAAAGAGCTAAATGTTACAGCTTTTGTTGAATTTTCAAGCTATCACATTTTCTCCCTACAAACGAGATACATCAGAAATTGATACTTGATAAAGGCATACATTATTTAAACAGACTTTTAGGTCAAGAAATTAGCATAATGAGGTTATATTTTTGTAACAATTTTCTCAGCAACTACTTATTACACCCTCTTGATATTTGGCATACAGCATAGACATGAGGTCCCATACCGTGAGATTTGATTTCAGGTCTGTCGCACATCCACTTCCTGTTTACCAACTTAGTTTAATTTTCAACAATAATGATCAATGGTAGGAAATTTTTGTAACAATTTTCTCAGCAACTACTTATCACAGCCTCTTGATATTTGGTATACAGCATTGACACGTGGTCCCATACTGTGGGTTTCGATTTCAGGTCTGTTGCTTATTTACTTCCTGTTTACCAACTTAGTTAAATTTTTCAACATGATGGTCATAGGAAGGAAATTTTCGTAACCGTTTTCTCAGCAACTTCTTATCACAGCCTCTTGATATTTGGCATACAGCATTAACATGTGGTCCCATACTGTTGGATTCGATTTCAGGTCTGTTGCTCATCCACTTTCTGTTTACCGACTTAGTTAAATTTTTCGACATTAATGGCCAATGGTATACAAAATTTTAATGCAACCCAGTCTTTTCTTTCTTTTGACACATTTTATTACTGTTCAACAAGCATGCCTCCAGATTCATGCTAATTTAATTCATTAAAAAATTTTAAAATGTATATTAAAGTAAAATCTTGTGAAGTGAACAAGGAGATTTATTTACACATTGAAGCAAATGGCATACACAATCTATCAAAATATCCAAAAAGAGATCAAAATATGGAAAAATAGCCATTACTGTGTTTGAACTCAATAAAAATATTGTGATAAATACTGCAAAATCAGTTATTAATCACACATATGTAAATTATTACTTGAATCTTTTTACCTTTCGTAAATCTTAGTGAAAGTTTGATTTCATTGAAATATTTTTCCTTATCTGGAGACGTGCTGTTAAGCACATAAACCGTTACAATATGACCAGCTTATTAAGTTATTACCTCAAATCACAGGAATTTATCTTTTTTACTTTTTTAAACTATCAATATATCACAGAGAGTTACAGAAAACTAACTAGCTGGTAAAAACACTCAGCTTATACATGTACTGATTTGGTTCCAGCTCACATCATAGAAAACTGATTTTAATAAAAGTATGAAGCATATAAATTGCTTGAATAAGTTCATTTAAATTTTAACTGAGTGAGTGGAAAACAGATGGTGAAAAAAAGGCTCTCCAGCATTTTTAGTTTTATTATGTACCATGCAACATTAGGTTTTCAGTTTTGCTAAATTTTTAATTTTCTCCCACCCTCCATATGTTAAACTTGTATCATAAAAAAACATACTGTGTAACACAGCCGCATGGATCAACAATTGTATGCACTTTAAATTTCCCATTAGGGAAAAAAAACTTGGAATAGATCTGTATTTAAAATACAAACGTATATTGATCCATGTTCAATGATGAATTCTGATACTCTGTTTTCAGCTTCACTTACGCTTACAAACTTGCTTATATTTTATGGCTATCATCAATGGAAACTATGTCTTCACTTGCATAATTCAAATTTTTGTAGATACAACATCATAAACTTACATTTTTGTTTTCTTTAAACAAATTTCAATTTCATTTTATAATAGCGTCCCAAAATACAATAACATCATTATCATCATTGTCTTTTTCATCATAGTTTTCCTGTTAGAGAGTCTAGGATGTATATTTTCTTAGGTGAAAATTCTCTCACAATGATAGTCCCATATGTAGAGTGTAACATAGGGTAGAGTGTAACACTATACATGTATTTTTATTGGCTGTATTTTATTAGCTCACCTGAGCATATGCTCAGGGTGAGCTATTAGGATCACTCTTCGTCCGTCGTCTGTCGTCCGTCGTCCGTTGTCCGTTCACACTTTTCAAACGACATCTCCTCTGAAACCATAAGGCAGATCATAATGAAACTTCACAGGGATGTTCCTTGTGTGAAGCCTTAACAAAGTTGTTCAAAGAATTCCATTCCATGCAGAACTCTGGTTGCCATGGCAACCAAAAGAAAAAAACTTTAAACATCTTCTTCTAGATAACCCAAAGAGCTAGAGCTAAGATATTTGGCATGAAACATCTTCTAGTGAGTGTCTACCAAGATTGTTCAAATAAAAGCCCTGGGTTCAAAATTGGCCCCGCCCCAGGGGGTCATTGATTTTCCCTATAGGCATATAGTAAAAAATTTAAAAGTCTTCTTTTAAAGAACCCAAAGAGCTAGACCTAAGATATTAAGCATGAAACATCTTCTAATGGGGTCAAAATTGGCCCCGCCCCAGGGGGTCATTGATTTTCCTTATATGCATATAGTAAAAACTTAAAAAAATCTTCTTCTAAAAAACCCAAAGAGCTAGAGCTTAGATATTTGGCATAAAACATGTTCTAATGGATGTCTACCATGTTTGTTCAAATAAAAGCCCTTGGGTCAAAATTGGCCCCGCCCCAGGGGGTCATTGATTTTCCCTATATGCATATATTAAAAACTTTAAAAAATCTTCTTTTAAAGAACCCAAAGAGCTAGACCTAAGATATTAAGCATGAAACATCTTCTAATAAGTGTCTACCAAGATTGTTCAAATAAAAGCCCTGGAGTCAAAATTGGCCCCGCCCCAGGGGGTCATTGATTTTCCTTATATGCATATAGTAAAAACTTTAAAAAATCTTCTACAAAACCCAAAGAGCTAGAGCTTAGATATTTGGCATTAAACATGTTCTAATGGATGTCTACCAAGTTTGTTCAAATA